ACGACAAGCTTGTAGCTGGGAACCAGTGCTATCTTTCCTGAGACAGAGCCTTCAAGGGCATCATCCAGCACTTGGTGGTAATAACCAGTTTGCTAGGAAAATATCCTGGAGGAGAATGATTTCATCAGGTTGCTTGGTGGAGTCAACATGACATGGCCAGAGGCTGACTGACACAGCAGATGTGGCCTCTTTGTGACATAGAAAATACGGTGCCCAGTTCTGTAACTTGTCTGAGAGGGAATCTGAGATTCTGCTGTGCTCCAGGCTATAAGCACAGTCTGAATGTGCTCTCTGTGGCATATGATACTAAGTACCCATTTTGGACTCACCCTCCAGCCCCACTATTATAACCCCTAGTCCACGACGAGCTTGGGGACTCCAACCAATCTTCCTGCTGTTGTTTTCATTTTTTGTGGAACCCAACCTCTGCCTTCTCTGCACAAATACACAGTCACACAGCAAAGCTGGGCTTGGGCTCCCTGATGACGTCATCAGGTAGCCCAGCCTAGTAAGCAACAGCAGCCACAGCAAACACAAACCCAGCCCAGGCCCATACTAGAGACACCGGTGCTGTGTCCTTGCTCTTTGCCATCTGGTAACGCTCCCTTGTCAAGGACCTATGACAACTGGGAATTCTGAACTGTGACACAGTTATTAACCACAACAGCAGCTGATAACTCTAAGGCATTGAGGTCTTGGACGAGAAGTTTAAGTGAGCTCACATCATGTGTATGGCTGTGAAACCACCTAAGGAAGTCCAGGAGATAGAGGTGAAAAAGTCTCTAAGAAGTTTAGCAAGAGGACTGAACAGGCTATGACCATGGATCTCCTGAGATTAGTGAAACCTAGCATCACATGAGTTCAAGGGGCAATAGTACCTAGTGGGTCTCAAAGTTGCACTGTCAGAGGACCACTTCTTTCAGGGACAAAATCTTGAGAGCCTTTGACCTCATCCAGTTCTACTAGTCATACCCCATCCCAATAAAAAAAGCAATAAAAGTATGAAGAATTCCATGAACAGATGAATGGATAAATAAAATGAGGCATATAATATGGTACACATACAAAATGTGGTACACATACAACATATTCAGCCTTAAAAAGGGAATGAAATTCTGACACACGCTACAACATAGATGAATCTTGAAACATTACGCCAAGTGAAACAAGCCAGTTGCAAAAGAAAAAAAATATTGTCCAAATCCACTTAAACGGGGTACCTAAAATAGGCAAATTCATAGAATACAAAAGTAGAACAGTGGTTTACCTGGGGCTGGAGGTCAGGGAGAATGGAGAGTTACTGTTTAATGGGTACAGAATTTCTGTCGGGCATGATGAGAAAGTTTTGGAAATGGATGGTGGTAGTGATTGCAAAACAGTGTGAATACCCTTAATGACAATGAGTTGTACTTAAAAACTCTTTTTTTTTCTTTTTTTTTCTTTTTTTTATCAGGAGGTATCCCTGAACCTCAAGGCCTAGCCCTGCCCCTTCATCAGGTGGTCTAAACTGCTGAATTCACACTGTCTGTCTGTAATAAGAGGATTAGGGGAGGATCACTGCTTTTCATTTTGCTCAGGTAGGAAGGTGAGTGCCTGTGCTCATGCACATACATGCAACACTGATTATCACCCTCTTCTGTCATAGAGCACATTTTACCACCAGAAAAGCAGAAAGGACATAATTTCAGAATAAAGGGCAGGCCTGTAGAGTCAACAAATTCACCTTTATAAAAAGCTTATTACATTGTCCTAACTATTGTCATTTTTGTCGGGGACAAGTGAAAATTTCAGCAAGCTGTCACTGGGCCTCTGGCCGATATTTGGGAACCCTTACCTTGGAATCAATCCCCTGATCTCAAGGCTTGGGAAAATACAAAACAGCTCTTCTTTACAAAAAAAACAAAAACAAAAACAAAACCAACCTCAGGACTTACAGATTGTCTGTGACCTCACCAACAGGTAGAAGTTATTGAGGCAGGATTTCTCATCAGTGACATGTTTCCCTTCATTCACTGATCTAGTCATTCAATACCCACAGATTAAGTGCCCTATTCCACTGGGTAGGGGCAACTAATGGTCCACAGAGGGACATGACAGGGCCCCTGCCTGCAGGGGACCCCCGGCCTAGTGTGGAAGAAATCCAAACAACTGAGGTCAAATGTAATTTAATATGAAAACTATGCATTTTTACAATTATTCTTGAGCAATCATTTCCCAAATTCTTCATGAATTCACAGTCTGGAAATGGCCTAATCCACAATACCCTTTCTCCTTTCAAATTCGAATAGACTTTTGATTTTTTTTTTTCTCCTTGTGCTGCTGAGGGGGGAAAAAGACAGCACTGACAAAAATGCCTCAACTGTAATATTTTCACATTTATCAAATTTCTGAAATTTAAAGAAAATCCACGGGCTTCTTTACCTTATTTGGCCCTTATTTTTAAATCAATTGTAATTACAATGTTTTAAACTAATAGATGGAAATGAAATGTTTCAGATTTTTTGAGAAGGCAGAAGTTAAAGAATTGGAAGTTTCCTCTACCCAGGCATTGCTTTTAGTAGATGCTTAATAAATACATTTAAATGTAAGTAATGTCAAGTTTTTCAAACCTCAAGTCCTGAAAACCAGCGACAACTTATCAGCCAAACAAAAGCCTGACTCCCATTATCGATTCACTTTTCTCTTACATTTCCTTCGGTAAACGAGAGCTGAAAGTTTGACTCCCTCCACCCCCAACCTTTGTTAAGGGCCCTGTTAGCTGAGGTTTGATGCTGCAACAAGAGACAACAGTGATACGGCAAGTAGCTTCTGCTTCCTTTACTGTTTTTCTGCCCAGACTAACACTGGCGTATAGATTTTAAAGTCAACTCTCAGGAATGTTAAAGAAAGGGACTGACAGAAATTGAAATGACCTTCTGAACAGAACAACAAAAGCCTAGCCTTTCCCCCTCCCCGCACGCGCTCGGCTTCCCCTCTGCAGTGGGTCTGGAACCGACACCTCTCCATCCCATCTCACTCCACCCCAGAGCCGGGAAGAGTCTGGGGCCCAGCCACAGGGCGGGTGGGAGCAAGAAGCTAGGGTGAGCCGCTACCTGGGGGCTGCCCACGGAGGCTGAGCCCAGAGCCAGCAGCCTAGGGAAAAACCGGGGACAATGATAAACGCTTCCTGGGACCCCGGCTACCACATACCCATTGGCCGCTCCTCAATTATCCTGGAGATGCTCCAGGATTAGCCGACGGGGCCGCAGGGCCAAAAACTCTTAATAAATGGTAAATTTTATGCTATATAGGTTTTACATACAAAAAATTTTTAGGCATAAACAATGGCATTGCTTTCAAGGAAACATGACTAAGGTAGTGTTTAAGAGACTATTATCAATAAGTAAATAACTCACATCAGAAATTATAGGATAATTACGGTCAGGAACACTGTGAAAGTAGAAGACCCACGCACCCCAGCTCAAAATCTGACAGCAAATTCCTTCACTCTCATCCAGTCTCTTGCTTCTTTGGAGAACAAATTCAACCATTTAGAGTCAGAATGCTTCATTATTTAACTATTAGAACATTAGAACTATCACAGGCCTTGTCAATTCAGGGCCCATATTTGTTTAAATGAAGACCCAGTTCTCACTGAACTATCCAGCATAACAATGGAGTAGAAAATGACATCACATATAAAATCCCCAAAGTATCTTTATTTTATCAAGTTGAAGGCACCATATCATGGAAATGCAAAATTATAACTTAACGATCTACTCCTTTGGATTAGTTAGGCATCTTGTGTGGAATATTCTTTCAGCATATGGACTAAGAGAAATTAATCCCCAGCTCTGTTCCAGGGTCTCTCCTTCATAAAGCCTCTTCATACTAGTTTTTCCTCTCTGGTTTTATATCTTTGGGAGAAGACTAGTAATATTTATACTGGACACGTCCCCAAAGCTTCTCCAGGGTGCCAAGCACAGGGATGACTTTGCAGTCAAGCAGTTAACCTGACTATCAGGGAAGCTGGGCAGATGACCTGGATCACAAGGCGAACAACTTGGCCAGATCTCTCAGTTGGGATGTTCACCTTATTCGTGTAAAACTTAACTTCATTTTCTGTTAATTTTGTGCCTCATTTCAGGTGAGGCATGCTGTTCTCAAAGAATCATGAGAATTTATTTAGATGAGGCAGAAAGTGAATAGCCAATTCAGATGATAATTTTGGCTGAAAAATGTCATGGCCTTTGAGATTTCTTTTAAATATATTTGAAAAGCTGTCTTAATAGAATCAAGAGATAATGCGATGTATGCTATGAATTGGACCCTGGATCAGAATGAGGGTGGGGAGAGGATTATAGAGGATATTACTGAGAAAACCGGCAAAATATGAAAATAGTTTATAGATGAGATAATAGTATTGTATCAATGATTAATTTCCTGATTTTGCTAACTACACTGTAGTCATGTAAAAAAGTATCCTTGCTCTTAGAAAATGCATGCTAAAAAATTTAGAAGAAAAGAAGCATCTTCCTCTGAAATCTGAAACTTACTCTCAAATGCTTCAGAAAAATATTATATCATTTATATAAAAAGAAAAAATTATAAAAGTGTGATAAAATAGTAAGTTGGGAATCTGGTAAAGAATATGGAAGTTCTTTATACTATTTCAAATTCTTCTATAAGGAAATAATTTCAAAATAAAAATTTACTAAAAATTTTTAAAGTTTATTTAAAAATTCATTCCTACTAGTCCTATGCAATAAAAGAAGGTTAAGTTAACCTGGTATCATACATTGCATATCTCAACTAATTTTAACATTAGATTACTGGCATTATTAACCACAAAAAACACTGCTCAGGTTCTGTTTGGTTATAAAATCACTGAATCTCAAGAGTAGAAGGGAACTAAGAGACCAAACAACTCAGACACCCATGTTTCCCAATGTAAAACTTAAGAAATTAAGTAGTGTGAAAAGGAAGTGGGTATGACTCATGAAGCACAGAAGAGGTTCTACCTTGAACTGTGGTTGATCTCCACCCAGCCCAGCTTCCAAGACACATGAAGCAAAAGTCCACCGATTAACGTCTGCCACCTGAAAAGAACAAGGGCCACTTTGAATTTGTTTTATTTATTTTTTTTCCAATCTGAATTTAATACAGTGTCATGGGGTCATCCAACCCCAGAAGATCTGTCAACTGACACAAATACACACATCCAATCTTTCTTACTTTTTCTCCCCCTCTCTCCTACGTCTCATCCCAATCTCAAACCTATCCTTCCCAACTCCTACTGATTCCCTTGAATCCAGCTGCACCATTAAGTGCCGGCATTGGTACTCTTCTTCTAGACTTCCCCTGAACAACCTCACTCACAGCCACTGCTTTTCCCATTGCCTCTGCACTGATCATTCCCAAATCCCCCTTTTCACCCAGACACTCCACAAGCTCCCAAATATAACAGGCCTAAAACATTACCTTAAACTCCCCCTCCCCATGCCGATCAGCCTCCTGCTACCCCTAATCAGCCAACCCAGAAAGCTAGATGTCATCCTAGCCATTCCTCCACCCTCACCTCCTTTATTTACTTGCAAAATCCCATTGATTTTTATCCACATAACAGCCCTCAAGTCTGAAGCCTTCCCTTCTACCCCTTGCACCTCTGCACACTTTAGACTTTCATCATCCCACAGCTGAACCACAGCACCAGTCCCCTCTCTCCAGGGTTGTCCCGCCCCAGCCAGCCTCCACCTTGAAGCCAAAGGGTTTGTTCTGAAGTGCAAACTTAATTGTGCTACTCGCTTGTTTAAAAATAGTTGGTTTTGCCCTGGCCAGGGGCTTAGTTGGTTAGAGCGTTGTCCCAATACACTTAGGTTGTGGGTTCGATCCCTGGTCAGGGCAACAATAAGCATCAACCAACAAATGCACAAATAAGTGGAATAAAAAATCGATGCTTCCATCTCTCTCTCTTCCTTCCTCTCTCTAAAATCAATAAATTTTTAAAAATTTAAATAAACTTTAAAATTTTAATAAAGTAATAAAAATGGTCGATTCTTCCCAGTGCTGCAGGTAGCAGTTCTCCGCCTCCGTTCAGCTGCAATATACTCGGGGTTAGGAAGCTCATGTAAGACACACTTCCTCAGCAGGCCAAGTTTGGGAGAGCACAGGTTATAAAGTAAACATCCCCCCCTTTTCCACTGCAGAAGGTAAAAAAAAACACCAAATGAATGAGAGGAGAACTATAAAAATAACTTCATCCTGTTACATTCTAATTGATTTTTTTATTTTAGGTGAATCATTCATAAATTTTAAAAGCATTTTTAGTTATGACTTGAAACACTATCTCAGAAATGATTACATCACACCTCTGTACTGCAACACCACAGGCGAGAACCCCTGACTTACAGGATAAAGTCATTTGTGCGTGACACACGAGCCTCCTGGAACTTGCCCCCGCCCCACTCCAGAATCAGCTCCTGTCTGTCTGCCCCAGGCAGACACATTCTGGCCACAATGAACAGCCCACAGCCTCAGGAATGTGCCAGGCCATTTCATACTTCTAAGAGTTTCCCCGTATTGTCCCCTTATCCCATAATGTTCTTCCTATCTCCTTCCATGTCAGTGTAGAGTAAGAACACCTGCTTATTCTATAAGACCCAGTTTTAAGTCTCCTCTGTGATGCCTTCACTGACAGGCAGAACACAGATATGGGGCGTGCCCTCCTGCAGCTTGGTCAAGAGCAGTGGTCCTCAACCACGTGGTTTTTCTCCCCAGGGGTTATTTGGCAGTATCCAGAGACAGTTTTGGTTGTCAGAACTGGGAACAGGGGAGGGGAGGCTTGCTACTGGCACCTGGTGAGTCGAAGCCAGGGATGCTGCTGACCTTCCCACAATGTGCAGGAAAGCCCCACAACAAAGAATTCCATTTCGGAAAGCTCCCTCTCTTTACAAAGAAGAGAGCATCTTTGAGAAAAGCAAGTTCAGGGACCAGGAAGCAAGTTGGAAGTTGTTAGAGTAATTTGAGAGATGACAGTGTCCTGGGAATAGGCAACTGGATGAATAAGGTGGACAGATTCTAACCATGTCTAGGAGGTCCAGTGTTTAACTGCATGTTAGCAATGAAGGAGACAGAGGAATCAATAGCTATCATGTTTATTTTCTTTTTAAAAATATTTTACTTATTTTTTGACAGAAGGGAAGGGAGAAAGAGAGGGAGAGGAAACATCAATGCATGGTTGCCTCTCACATACCCCCTAATGGGAACCTGGCCTGCAACCCAGGCATGTGTCCTGATTGGGAATTGAACCAGCGACCCTTTGGTTCACAGGCTATCGCTCAATCCACTGAGCCATACAGGCCAGGACATTATCAGGTTTCTGAGTCAGACAACTGGATAGAGGATATGGTAGGCCGCAGGAAAATTTAAGGGATAGGCAAAAGAGAAAAGCAAGCTCCACGAGGGCAGGGATCTTTTTCTTCACTGACATCTAGAAGTGTCTAGAATAGTGCCTGGCACATAGTATGCACACAATTAATATTTGTAGAATGAGTTAATCTGCCCTACTGTGTATCTCACTGTATTTGTGGTGAATATTCCATAGGCATTCGAGAAAAGGACATAATCTCTATTTTCAAGAGACAGTATTTGATATTTATGTATTATATTATGGAGCACATATAAGTGCATATACCCATATTTAGCATAAATACATATGTGATAAATAATATCGTTAATATATATATGAAGCTTTTTTTGTCCAATTGAACTATCATGAAAATATAGCAGTAAATTTGTCTCCTCCTACTAGTGTGTTCCTATTTATCACTGGTGTTCCTGCACTTCTTGGTTGATAAATGGTGATGCCCGATTGCCTGAGTGGTATAGACATTCATCACCATTTTATTTTCATTTTAAACTGCATGCTTCAGCATTATAAAACATGGCTATCTTCACTTGTTTAATGATTTCCATCCTGAATTCTGCCCTATCTGACATTCAGATCAGGGCCCCTGCTTTTTTGTTTGCATTTGTGCAATATTAAAAGAAGTAGTAAAAATGAGAGAGGAAGAGCTCTCCCACATATTTAAGTGCTATAATAATTAAAATTTAGCACAACCACTTTCCATAAAAGTTGGCAAAAAATATTCAAAAATAGACCCTATACTAGACTTATCTGGGTGATCACTTCATGTTATATATATGTCTATACACTACATTGTACACCTGAAATGAATATGTTGTCAACATTAAGTTTTTTAAAAACTTAAAGAAAAAGACATTTATTACCAAGATAATTTCAAAAAAAGCTAAAGAAAAATGTTTATTATCAAGGTAATAAAAAATAGGCTCTAAATAAATAACTTAATATATTATATTAATAATGCACAGGCAAAGGATCATACAATAAAACATAATAAATGGGGCCAGAGTAAATGAAACTGTTAGGGGAGGAGTGATTTCTTCACATTGCACCACACACTAAAATAAACAGACAATGGTCAAGAACTGAATAAAGCTTTAATAAAATATCAGCATAATCTTGTGATAGAGGATAAACGTAAAAGCAGTTGTGACTCACAAAAGAAACAATCAATATATTTTTCTACATAAAAATCAAATATTTAAAAAATGAAAAGATGGGGGAGGGAAGGTGAAAAAGAAAAGCATGTCAGACTACCGACCTGACCCACGCCATCCTTTCCTCCTATTTTGTTCTAGTAATAGCATCCCTGCATCACAGGACCACACACCTGATTCATCTCGTATTCTCTCTGTTGTTTCGTCTTATGCTCAAACAATGAATTTTCTATGATGTCACTTTTTTAAATAATTAAATAATAAAAATACTTATAAACAAAATAAAAAGGCAAAGAACAAATTGCAAAAAAAAGTTCCAATAAACATAATGGACAAGTGGATAGCACTCTTAAAATATGAAGAATTCATTAAACTGCTAAGAAAAATACTAAAACTCCTGTAAAAGTAAAGGGATAAAAGGCACAATTAGAAAATTCACTGAAAAAAAAGATACAAGTGAGCAATAAACATAAGAAAACTGTCCAATTCATGAATAATCTAAAAAATGATAAGTAAAACAATGTGATGCCATTTGGGGCTCATGAAATAACCAGAAAGAAGAAAAAATACACATGGTTCCAGAATAATGGTATAGGAACTTTCATATACAGCCTGATGACAACGTAAATTGGTAATATATTTTTGGAAAAGATTTTGTTAATATTCAAGAAGAATACTGAAGAAGTTCAAATTCTTTAACCCAAATTTCTTATATAGGAATCTATGCCAACACGTATTGGCATATATGTCTTTGTTGGAAATTTGGCAGAGTTAAATACCAAAAACATCTGATAACATTGTGCTGTTTATACGGCCCAAATGAGACACAATTTAAATGCCCATTAATAGAATAGCTAAATAAATTACAGTATGTCTATTTGGTGAAAAACCCATGCAGTCAGTGAAAATATTTGAAAGAGAAAGGGTAAAGGGGGTCAAATATATGGCGACAGAGATCTGACTCTGAGGGGTAAACACAAAATGCAATATAGAGATGCATTACAAAACTGTGTCCTTGAAACCTATATAATTATATTAATCAATGTCACCCCGATCCATTTAATTTAAAAAATTAAATATATATTGTAAATAACATTTAAAGACAATGGTTGGACATTTCCTACAAATGTATACAAAGAGTATAAAAAATACTCACCCTTGGAACAACGTAGGGTAGGTAAATTTCAAAACAGACAGGACATACTGAAAAACAAACATAGGATTAATGCACATTTTCAAATTATAGAGAATTGATAGGCCACATAATCAAAGAAATCCCTACCTAAGAAATTTAAGTACACTCAAGTTTCAAAAGGGTCTTTATTCCCATCCTCTCCCCACCAAAATCACACACTGCCCCCTCCCAAAACAGACCTTCCAAGTCATACCAAAGAGAGTGGGCCTGCTTTCCCCCAGAGTCACCAGAAGCCTGACCACCCCAGTGGGGAGTGGAACTGGTGCCACAAGCAAAGTGGGACAGCAGCTGGGTCTGGTGCTGGGATGGCTGACAACTCGGCATCTTCCCGGACCCCAGAAGTGTCATGTTGTAACTGCAGCAACTCCAGAGAAAACCACACATACCCCTGAAGACAGTCTGTTTTCTCAGGGTATCCACTTTATCTACTGTTCAGTTTACCTAAAAATCCTACCCCCTTCTTCGTTTCTGTTCAAATAAGAAGTGCATGCTAGTCTGTCCTTTGTTTTTCATTTTTAGGGTTTTGTTTGGTTTTCCCATTCTAAGAATTTTTTTCTGATTCTGCTTAGGTGTCATAAGTTTTGCTGTGTTTTAGCATTTTAAGCATTTTTTTAAACCAAGTCAGCTAAGGTCAACTTGTATTTCTATTGTCTTTAATCAAGTTTATAGCACTTTATGAATGGGGGGATTGTGTTGTATCCTTCTGGATATCTTTTGTTTTTTTTCTATTATTAAACACTTTAAGAATTTTTTTTAAAGCCTAAAACCATTAAATGGCTTTAGGAAGGATTCCAATTCTTCACATGGTCTAAAAAATAGAACAGAATGGTGTTGGGCAAGTTTACACATCTATTTTTCCCTCATGGATCACCCTGCACATAACTGTCCTTGTATGAGTTCCTAAACGTCACAATTCTGGCCAGCTGCCTGTGCACTGGTATATAGTTATTAGAAATTACCTTCGTTCTACTCTGGTTTATTTACTCACATAATTCAGTATGTTCCTCCTCACTTTTCTCTGATATTTCCATTCTAAAACAGAGGTAGAGAAAGCATTGAGTGACTAGCTGAGCCATAACCTGCATCACCCTTAACAAGTTTCATGAAGATAATAAATATTGACTTAGTGTATTGTGTGCTGAGCTTTGTACTAGACACTGCAAAAGACAGAAAATGCTGAAGCTCTCACTTCACGTTCCTAAAGAACAATGAAAAGACTAAGAAATCTCTGACAAAGGATATCTAAGTCCTAAACTTTTGTCCTTTCAGCATCACCTCAAATCACTGAAAAGTGTTGCTCAGAGAGAGCAAAATGCTCTTTGGAAGAAGAGCGGTGCGAGCTTCTCAAGGAAAAAGGAGGAGCAATGTGGGAGCCTATAAAGGAGAACAGATCCGGACTCTGCCTCCCGACGGAAAGCTGCACATCTGTGAGGGGAAGGACAGGACGCTGCCCGCGCCGAGGTCCGGTTGCTGCCAGAACCCCCAAAGCATGGAGGGCACGCTGCCCTGACTGGGCCAGCCAGGCCCGGAAAGCCAGAGCACTCAAAAGCTGAACAAAAATCAACCATTCTTTTAAACAGTAATGAGACTAAGGTATGAAACAAAGATGTACAAGATTTTCTTAATGAATTTTCTTCATACAAATAGGGAGGGGAACAGTCTGAGGAGAAAACTACAGAGAAATATGAAAATAAAGAAACTAGCATAGTGTTCTAAATACCTGAAGAAAAGATCCTCTATGGTAGACACAAAAGGACTTCACTAATTCAAAAAATTTCATTTGGCAGAGCCTAGATGCAGAAGACTACGCCCATGGGGTTAACTGGACAGGGCAAGGGGGCTTCCCCAGCATCCTCTTAACATACTGAAGACATCCACCCATCGTAAGAAAGACAGTGTAAAGAAAAGCTATTTGTCAATGCTTCTTTCCCAGGAGCAAGAGGTTTTGGCAGGGAGGGGTCTGGGGGAGTGCGGAGGAGGGAGCAGTAGAGACTGTGCTGGGGAAGGCGGTCCTGGGCCTGTATCACCACTTTGGCTGGCGTCTAGCTCAGAGTCCAGGAGAGGGGGTAACTCCCCGCCCTCGCCAACGTTCCCCGAAGCACCAGAGCCAAGGCCAGCGTCCCCCTCCTCACAGAGCAAAAACGTGCTGCCACGGCTCTTCTGCCTCTTCACACAAAGGGTTTCATGATATTACTTTAGAAAAATTAAGTTTACATTTTATTTTAAAGATAATTCCACGAAAAAACTACTGAATGTACTAGGAGTGCCAGGGATGGTAACATATATTTTGAAAAATCAGTTTGAGAATCAGTGGTGTGAGGCGGAGATGGAGACGGGCTGATCTCTTCCGTTTAAAGCCTTCTGGAATCTTGCGGGGCTCTGGGGCAGGGGCATGTTTAGAAGAGAAGGCAGATGGGTCCGACCTCTTTCCCTATTCTTCCTTCCTCGAGGGAATGGGAGCCAATTGCTTTCTTTCCCTTAAAAGTAGTCCATACTGCCAAAAATGAAGTTCCTGCAAAATCGCCAAAAAAAAATCTGGTTAACCAGGAAATTTACAGAATGCTTTACAGAGCAGGAAGTGAGGCAGTACAGTCCAACCAAAGCTACTTCTAAAAGAGCATCCCGCACACAGTCGATTTCTTCTCTAGCACCATCAGGGGGAAAAAACACAGAGGAAAAGCTGGAGGTTGCATTTGTTCCACCTACTGTTATGAGACTCAAATCTCCCACGCGGAATCCTCGCTTCCCCGCGCCCGCCCTCCTCACCTTGTTCGTGAGGTAAAAAGCCAGGTAGCAGGTACAAAAGGAGAGGCCGACCAGGCCCCTCCTCATGCACATCTGTCAAACTTGCAGCCCTTCCCGGGGTCGCCTTAGGAACACCGCTGGAGCTGGGCCTCCACCGCCGCCGGGGGGCCGCCACGTGGCAGCGAGCTCCACCAATCCGCACGGGGACCGCCCCCCACCCCGCCCCGCTGCGCTGGGCTCTTAAGAGGGTCACGCCTCCGTAGGGCCCGGCCTCCTCGAGGTGGGTGGGGTGGCACCCGACTGGCAGAATGACCTTGGAGGAGAGACTTGGTCACCCAGGGCTGCGACCACCTGTAGAGAAAGAATGGGCAGTACTTGTAAAAAAGTAGAAAGTGGAAGTAGGAAAAAATGCAGTTAACAAAACGTTTACTACACCCCATTACCATTTAAAGAAAATGTTCAGAGCTATCTCTGTACAGTGGGACTAAAATGCTGTTTGTGCTTCACTGAATTTTCCCAAATTTCTACCTTGAGTCCGTATTATATTTACAAACGACACGAAAAAACTAACAATGATAAATGTTATTTTAAAAGAAGAAGGGCTGAGGGGGAAGGAACTAGAATGAATGTAGCTTGTAGCGGTTTTTTCTTTAGGAGAAATAATTCCATTGTGCTGAGAATTACATAAGAAATTCCTCCACAAGTGAGGCTTCAAGCACAGCCCCTGTTCCTAGTTTCTGGAGTGGAAAATTGACCTTGTTCGGCTTCTGGCAAATAGTAGCAAACAGACACGAAAACGTAGCGATAGGCTCTGTCAGTAACTAGAAGTGTAACTGAAGTGTTCACACATGTAGAAACACAGATTTTTAGAAATACCACACACACCAGAAACCTTTAGCTTCTTTTCATTTGTATTCCCTATTTAAACTGTGTATCAAGCTATGTTGGCGAAGTAAACACTGGATGTAAGTCTCTACGTAAAAGACAAATAAACTAAGCAGTTACTTTCCCTTGACATTATTTTAGAAAGCCTATTTCAGAGCTAAAAGGAAAATTTTTGCTCAATAGCATTTGCTTGAAACCAATGGTAGATGTGATTTCCTGAGATTTCCCTGAGCTCTTCTGGTAGATGAACAAATTCAATTCAAGCCTTTTATTTCCTAGTTATTGCTTCACTTTTTTCTTTGACAGAATTTGCTTAATTTGTTTCACAAGCAGAAACAACCAAAACAGTTAAGAACCATGTAAACAGAAGATGACATTTGCAGCAAAAGTGCTACAAATCTTGCCAGAGGTATTGATTTTTCCAAAGCTGCATTATTCTGTTCCACAAAACAAACTAAAATAACAATGAATCAAAATAAAATAACCGGGTCTTGCACTGACAAACAATAAGCTACTACATGTGAGCTTGAAGCAGACGTCCTATACATGAAAAGATTTAACTACTTATATTGTTCATTGAGATCTTTGAGACCAAGAGATACAGTTAATTTATTTTTGATCATGAATTCATTAGTGCTCAATAAATAAAATGTTGAATAAAAAAGAGGAGCTTGTGTAAAAAATAACCTGTGAGCTTTTCCCCATACAAATCTTTTTAATAATGTTTTTGTAGCAAACACAGAGAATTTTTAAAATATAGCAGAAGCAGCTGCATACTTTTTGAGACTCCCTAAGTTCCCTTAAAAAACAGATAGAATATCAATATTCTCGTGAATATACATACAAAACTCCTAAACAAAACACTAGCAAAGGGAATTCTTTCACATAAAAAAGTATATGATGGGGAAAATAAAGCCAGGTTGATCTCAAAAAAAAGGGGGGGGGGGGCAGTATGCACATAATCAAGTGTGACTTATGCCAGGAATGCAGGGTTGGTTTAACATCCAAGAATCAATGTAATACACCATATCAATAAAATAAAGGACAAAAACCACATCATCATCACAATACAAACAGATATGGCATTTGACAAAATTCAACACCCTTCCATGATTTAAAAAAAGAAAAAAAACTTACAAAATCCTAGGAATAAAAGGTAGCTTCTGCAACTTAATGAAAACATTACAGTTAACATTATACTTAACAACAGAAGACAATGCTTTCCTCCCTAAGGTTCCTGAACAAGAGAAGAATGACTATTCTTGTCACTTCTATTAAACATTGTATTGGAGGTTCTAGCAGGACAATAAGGCAAAAAAATTTTAAAGGTGTCCAGCTCTAACCTGTGTGGCCCAGTTGGTTGGGCGGAGTCCTGTAAGTCAATTCCCAGTCAGGACACCTGCCTACATTGTGGGTTTCGTCCCAGGTCGGGGGACAGGCAAGAGGCCACCTATCAATGTTTCTCTCTCTTCCTCTCTTTCTTCCTCCCTTCCCTTCTCTCTAAAAATAAATAAATAAAATCTTAAAAAAAAGAGCCCCTAGGAAAACTACATACCATGGAAAGCATCTACCTCAAAACTAAGGCAAAGGGGACAGTGAGTACCCTTGAGGGCAGTTGTAACTGGAAGAGGACATGAGATGCATTTCTGCAGTGCTGGAAATGCTCTGTTTTCTGATATGGATGCTGGTTCAGTGATGTAGTCATGTTGGAAATATTCGCTTTAGTTGTAACATTACCTTGTAATTTTGTATGTATGACTTCAGTAAAAAGCACACAGCACAAAGAGACAAAGATAGGAAAAATGTGAAAAAGTAATTAGGAGTCATGAAAGATAGAATGAGATGGTCTAACGTATATTTAGTAATAGTTCCATAAATAGAAAATATGGAGAATGTAGGAGAGGCACTTCCCCCCACCCCCCCAGAACTAGTACAAGGCATGAATCCTCAGATACAGTAGGGAGAATGAATCCCAAGCAAACCAAATGAAAAAAAAAATCTACTCTTAGATATATTTACATATTCAAATTCACATTTAATTGTATTAAAAATTCCATAATTTACCATATTAACCACTTTAGCATGCACAGTGCAATAGTGTTACCTACCATATATGCATTTTGCTGTGCAGCAGATCTCTAGAATGTTGTATCTTGCTAAACAGAAAGCCTACATCCACTCCACCAATCTTTTCCCACTCCCCCAGCCCTGACAACCACCATTGCATTTTCTAAGAGTTTGACTACTTTAGATACCCAATAGAAGTGGAACCAAATACATATTTTTACTAAAAATATTCTTTTTATTTATCCTTTACAGATAGAGCATCGTATCAATTTTTAAAATAATATTGTGCCATAAAGGGAGTAAAACAAAGTATTTGTTATTAAAAATGGCCATGATACATAGGGTTCAGAACCGTCAAGTCCCATCTGAACCTAACTGACCCATGTCCATAACATTCCACTCTGGTAACCCTGTGAAAATACTGAGTCATCACTAAATACCTGATGGACTTTCCTGCCCTTATGCCAAGTTTTATATCCTTCCTTTCACCTCTCCTAGCTGTGTAGCTTCTCTCTAGCCTTCATGCCCTAGTTTGGTGGCAACTTCTCCATGAATCCTTTCCAACCCACAGTGAATACTGAAGCATTCATTGTCTATAGCTGTCATTTGGCAATGAATCGTGCACTCTACTGAGATAGAAATGTTGTATTATTGTTTAATGTCACTCTGTGAATGTGACATCTCTCCAAGTATAATCTCACAGATTTTTTTCTCTCTCCCACAGGACTTTAGGAGTTTTCCGGGCAGTTAGTAAATATTTGTTGATTGCTTGAAACAGCTACTTGTAAAGTAGACTTAATTAATCTCAATAATGAAGACTAAAGAGCTTTATTTCTGTTCCCTTTAGCAACCAAAGAATCTCCTGATTCCACGTGTTTAGTTAGTGCAAATTCTAGAATAGCCTCATCTCTGCTGAGCACTGGTGAGTTTATCAACAGAGACGAAAGGGAGTAAGAACTGGAGCTAAGTCCTCTAAACATCCTGCATATTCTGTTTCACCAGCAAACTGCCATTACCCCATTCAAGAACTCACCATGAAATAACATAGAACTATATCCTGGTTTTGGCCAAACATATTTTTCCCACTAATAATATTTATAAAATGCAAACTACAAGATGTGTCAGTATTGTACATTTCCTTCTTTTTTAAGGAGCACATAGTTAGTGGCATCAGGTACATACCTTAACTGTAGATAGACAACCATCAAAATTGTTAACCCACAAACTCTGTACTAACCTGCAGTTCCATCGCATGATGAAAAAATGCCCTTGTCCCCCCAGACCACATTCTCTAAAAACTGAGTGTTGTCTGAGACTATTCATTTCCCTCTGGCATCCAGAACAGGGAATAAGAGTCATTAGTATCTTTCACTCTCTCCAGCACAGCTTCCTAAATGTTATCCCTGCTCCCACAGGTAAACTGTTCTCCTCTGGTGTCTCTGACCATCCCGCTATCACTATCTCTAAACTTCCTACCCACGGCATCTACTGACCTCTGGGTTACAATCCGTACATTTTCAGAAGACTCTATACCTGCTCACACTCTTACACCCCACCCCAAGCCCTGACATCTTACTGGGTAATCTTTTATTTCTTTTTTAGTAAAAAAATTTTTCATCCTCACCTGAGGACAATTTTTCATTGCTTTTGAGAGAGAGAGGAAGGAAAAGAGAAACACATCAATGTGAGAGAGAAGCATCAATCGGTTACTTCCCATACATGCCTGGATAGGGGATTGTCCATGTCCAAACCAGGACTGGACTCTCAACCTAGATATGTGCCCTGACCAGGAACTGAACCCACAACCCTTCTTTTATGGGACAACACTCCAACCAATGGAGCCACACCGGCCAGTGCTTGCTGGGCAATCTTAAGGTCCGTGTGGATCACCCAGCTAATATCCTGGCATTTTATCCTAGGCTGTTAAGTTTCCCAACCTCATCCTCACTTCCTCACCATACCTTCACCGTGGCTTCCTCTGACTTGGGAATGACTTGCGTGTACTCTGCTCTACTTCTAAAACTCTTCAATAGCCCTAGTGCTTGAGCTTTCTCTCTCTCTCTCTCTCTCTCTCTCTCTCTCTCTCTCTCTCAGGTTAAATTCACATAACATAAAATTAATCATTTTAAAGTGTGAAATTCAGTGGCCTTGAGTAGATTCACAATGTTGTGCAACTATGACCTATATCAAGTTCCAGGTTTCATTACCCCAAAAGAAAAGCCCCTTGCCCATTAAATAGTCACTTCTCATTTGTCCCCTTTGCACCCCATTACCTGGCCAACACCAATCTGCTTTCTGTCTTTATGGATTTACCTATTCTGTATTTTTCATATAAAGTGAACTACACAACATGTGCCTTTTGTGTCTGGCTTTTTTCACTTAGCATACTGTTTTGAGGTTTATCCACATTGCAGCATGTATCAGTACTTCATTCCTATGTTAGTTTTCTTAGGTTACCATAATAAAATACCACAGACCGAGTGGTTTAAACATCAGAAATGTATTATCTCACAGTTCTGGAGGCAGGAAGTCCAAGATCGAGGTGCTGATGGGATTAGCTTCCTCTGAGACCTCTCCCCTAGATGTGCAAATGGCTGCCTTCTTGCTTGCCCCTTCACATGGTTGTCCTTCTGTGCACGCACAGGCACCCGGTATCTCTTCCTCTTCTTGTGTGGACAAGAGTCATATTGGATTAGGGCCCCACTCTAAACCATTTAATTTAGACTCCTCTTTAAAGACCTTATCTTCAAATATTGTAACATTCTGAGGTACTGGGGTTTGGGATTTCAATACATCAATTTGAGGGGTATATACCACATTTTGTTTATCTATTTATTTACTGATGGACATTTGGGCTGTCTCCACTTTTCGGCTATTGTGAATAGTGGCTCTATGAGCATTCAGATACTAGTGTGTGGTTGAGTACCTGTTTTCAGTTCTCATGGGTATATACCAAGGTGTGGAAATGCTGGATCATATGGTAATTATGTGGTTAACTTTTTGAGGAGCCACTGTTTTCCACAGCACCTGCACTATTTTACATTTTCATTAGCAATGTGCAAAGGTTCCAATTTCTCCACATCCTCACCAACACTTAGCCCATAATCTCTCAGCTCTTTATCCATGATGCCATTTCTCCCACTGAATATCTTTATTCCAATTTTTTCAAAATTTCTTGTCCTTTAACTTCCTACTTTCTCCCTAAAAGACATCTCCATTTTCGTTTTCTTTTATAACCAGTATAAAGCATATAATTCATTATGTGTGACAAATTTCAGTTTCTTGATCTATAAAATGGAGCTAGCAGTATCTCTCAGAATTGTCTTAAGAATTGAATAAGCTAATATATTTGAAGTGTTTAATACAACACAGCAAGCCTTAAATAAATGGTGATGATTACTAAATTTCTATTTCAGCTCTATTTATTTCTCAGGCACTCCAAGCCCCCTGTTAGCCATTTTCAACTGTATCCTTTCAGTTCACTCATTCACAAATATTTATTGAGTGCTCATTATATGTCAGACACCATACTAGACATTGCTTACCACAGTGAGCAAAATAAACATGTTCCCTGTTCTCATGAAGAAAAAAGAAAATAGGCAAATAAATGTGTATTTACAAATTTTGATAGCTGTCTGTTCCATAGGACACTTACAGGTAACATATCCAAAATTAAGATGATCTTCATCTTTCCTCCAAATCAGATCTTCAGACACCACCACCCACCCAGTTGACCAATTGAAAGCAGAAGTTCTCTCAGCTCCTTGATCTCCATTGAGATGCCTTGCCTTCCATTCTGCTCTGCCCCCACCTGGTACTACCAGCATCAGGCACCAAAACCAAAAAAAACAAAATCTTGGTAACAGAGTTGGAATATACAAAGTCATCTTAAAGAAATTTTAAAAGTTTCTGAAACTTGAAATTAGACTGAAAGTATTAACACATTTAAAGAATGTGTCAGTGGAATTTGAGACAACTCTCATCATCGATTGCCTGGCAGTTTTTCAGTCTCCAACCTCACCCTTCAATTCACCCTTCATACAGCTGTCAGAATTATCTTTCTAGTAAGCAAGTCTGAAAACATTGTTCTTTTTATGATTCTTAATTATCTAAACTCTGAAGTCCTTAGCATTAAAATCTCTTGGATCTGGCCCTCCCCTGCACTCCCAACTTGGTCTTTTACTTTGTCCCTGTTGAACCCTAGGTTTGCCCATGCCAAACGACTTGCCCCTTTCCAAGGTGTGCTGTATACAGCTCCCCCATGTGTGTGGATGCACCCTCTTGCTCTATAGCCCATGTCATTGATGTCTGCTCTTCTTGCAAGACTGAGATCAGCGCCATCTAGTTTAAGGAAACTTTTCTGAACATCTGGGTGTGTACCCGAACACAGATCTGGCTGCCTGCTGCTTTGAAAGCCAATACTTGAGAGACAGGGGCTGGGGTAAGGAAAGTGGTTTATTTTCAGGTGCTCACCACCTGGAAGATGGGGAATTCTTGTATCAAAGCCCGTCTTAACATCTCAGTGCAGGCAGAGGTTTATATCAGGAGGGAGAGGGGAACAAAACAAAGAGATAAGGGAGGGAGTTGAAAAGTTCTCTATGTGCAGACGAGCACAGTCCATTTTGATAAGGCAAGTGATGGTCTGGTGTACGTCATCCTGGTTGAGTCATCCTGGATTCATGCCGTCTTGCTTTTGTGTCATCCTGGCTCCAGAGTCGAAGGTTAGCAAATCTCCTGGAGCTAGGATGCCTGAAGGTTGGAGTCTGTATCTTTTGAAATTAGCTCCTAGGATTCTCATACAAATAAGCTGTTCATGTACAAGCTACATATTAGTCAGAGTCTGCATTTACAGAAACAATGTCAAAAGGATGGTGAGGAGGGTTACAATTTCTCACTGTTATAGGTGGATCTGACCTCTTCCTCCTTTACATTCCCATGTGTTGCTATCAGAGCATTTTTAACACTTAAGTGTATTTGGTTTATGAGGTGTCAGTCCTCAAGGTCCATGAGACATGTTTTTATCCATATTCATCACTCCAATGTTAGGCACTTAAGAAAGCACTCAATAAAATTTGCTAAATAAATGAATATCCAGATTTTTAGTTCTGCATTTAACTTCTTGTCCTTTCCTGGTGTGTCTCCCTAATGGAGATGTATTTGGCACATTTTTGTTAGGCACTGAACTTCACCTCTTCTTCCTGATCTGCTCTTTTCCGTTCAATCTTTTTCTTTAGAAATTCTAGGCTCATTTAGTTGGAGGCTCCAAGTACAAATTGCCAGTTTTAAAAAGAGTCACAGAGGTGTAAAGTACAGCATAGGGAATGTAGTCAGTAATATTGTAATAACTATATATGGTGTCAGATGGGCACTAGAGATATCAGGGGAATCACTTTGAAAGGTAAACAAATGTCTAATCACTATTTTGTACAACTGTAATATGATATTGTATGTCAACTGCAATTGAAAGATAAATTTAAAAATATGTATGGCGAAAAAACACCCCCACAAAACAAAAAAAATAATAAAAGGCTCCAATAACATCTCTTGGTTGATCTTTCCTGTTTCTAATTCAGAAGTGAGAGTCCATTTAACTTCTGGTTACAACCATTTGTCCTCAATTATTTATATCTTTGAACACTGATTGCAATCCTTTAAACACTGAAAGAGAATACAATTCCCACACAGTCACAAATATAGACAACATTTGCCAAGCTTAAGTCTGTATGTATCCTATTGTATAGCTGTAGTTTTGCCTTAGTTTAGTTTTGAGTTTTGGGAAGATTCAGAACATGATCTGGAATTGGAAGGATTGTGTGCTAATGAAAATCACCAAGGTCAGTATACTAGGGATCTCAAGCGTGGGATCCTGGCTCAGAACTGCAGTTTAGGTAGAAGTTATTGAGTACTTATTTGTAGAATGTCCGAATAGTTGGCATACATACAGTATAGAAAGCCAGTCTCCAGACCCAGACTGCTTCGGTTCACTACTTATTTGCTGTATGGCTTGGAGCAAATTACCCACCTTGTGCTTCAACTTCATTATCGGTAAAAAGGGATGAACGATAGCCTTTACCTCTCAGGATTATTTTGGGGACTGACGAGTTAGTACAGTACTTTGAGCAGTGATTGAATATGTAAGTGAAATGTAATGCTTAGATACTATTAACCACTCACTTTATGAGAACCTCTCTACAAAATACCGAAAATCAAAAATTTTATTAGGCAGTCCTATTTATGCTCTATGTTATATAACGCATTTTACAAATTTCCACATTCTACGCCCCACCTCCCAAGGACAAAGTGCAGGGACAAAGTGCAGGGACAAAGTCCGATCGTCTTCCTCAGTCTCCCTCCGCTCTCGAAACCTACTACTTCCTGTCTCCGTTTCCATTGCAGTTTATAATTGATTTGGGAAAAAATGAGAGAACGTAGGAACTTCCTTTGCATGTTTATTTATAGTTCACGCGGTCCAACTCAGATAGCTACAGCTAGCGGATGTCTCACCCAGCCGAGGAGAGCGGAAGGGAAGACTGCGCGCGGTCTGCGACCGGCTTTGCCGGAGAAGTAACCACACCCAGCCTCTACCCAGCCCAACACGGTCCACCAGGACTAGCTGCCTGGAACCCCAAGCCCTGAGCCCAGAGTCCCGAGCAGCAGCCGGAAGTGCAACCTCCGGAAACGGGCAGAGGTAACTTAAGGCGGAGCCCAAGGCGGTAGCCAATTGGAAGTGACGGTCATAGCAGAGAAGGCGGAACAGAAAACGCTTAGTTCCGGACGCGGCGGCAGCCGCCGCCATCTGTCACCTCAACTCCGGCTCCGGCTCCGGCTCCGGCCCGAGCCCCCAGTCGCCCCTGCCCGGCCTCCTATCTCCTCGGCGGAGGCTGCTTCCCGGTCCCGTCATCTCTCTGCTCTGTTCTCGTCACTGGCTTCTTTCCCCACATGGATCTGGTCGGAGTGTCATCCCCTGAACCAGGGCCGGCAGCGGCCTGGGGATCCAGCAAGGTGAGGGAGGGTCGGGGCAAATGCATCTACGGTGGTCATCTGGGCTGGTTCTGTCGGAGAGCCCGGAGAGGATGGCAGATGCCTAGGCTGTCCGGCAGGCGACTCGGAAGTCTGGGTGAAACCCCGGCGACCCCAGGAAGGGGGGACGGGCGGCAGGGCCGCCGGGGTAGGGGTAGGAGAGGCGGGGAGTGGGGGGGCCCGGGCTGCCAGAGACTTAGGGTCTCTCTAGGTCGGCTCCCTTGCTGTTTGCAACTCCATAGCGTATTTGTGGGCAGGACTCGTTCGGGGAGACCGTGACGTTTGCGGGAAAGCAAGCACTGACTTGTTTTGGACGGGCCGAGTGAGTCAGCCCAATAACACAGGAAGCCGGACCGGCGACAGCTGTTGGCTTCACTTGACAAGTATGGTTATCCTGTTTAGGCAATTTCTTGTTTTTCAAGTAGTGAAAGATAAATGCGGGAGCGCCTCCTCTCCACCCAGGCTAATAGTGAGGTGCCCTCGACACACTGTAAAACGGTTATGAATTCTTGTCAGCCTGGGGCTGTTAACATTTAAGCTTTCTCCTGCAATGGCTAACTCTTACGTTTATTTCATATTTCACATTTGGTTTCTGGATTTCAGTCTGCTCCTTTTCATGATACTTTCACTAGAGGGATGAAAAGACTTATGCGTTTTATTGAGGGATTGCTTGAAAATAAGAGTGCTTCAATTGAGATTTTGTGTTCTTCACATTAAAGTTGTGAAGGAATCCGACTTTTTTAGCTTCATAATTGTTCTTTAAAAGCTAACACAGAACACGTTTTTTTTTTTTTTTCGTGTAAAAGGTCATTTGTTAATCTTATTGGATCTTCAGGCCAGATCTTAACAGGAAAAGGGGGAAATAATTAGCTACCAAGTAAAGGAAAATTAATTCTATGAAAGTTCTCATACAACTGTAGGGAGAATCTAAGGTATTCCATTGGCAATTGTGGTTACATCTACATGTTATTTTGTGTATTTTTTCTATTAAAGCCGTATTTTCAAGTCCAAGATCAGTAGACTTAAAAGGATGACGTCAGTAGACAGTAATTAATATAAATGTTACATGTTAAATTCCTCCACTTAAGAACCTACAATAACTTGTGAAAATGCCAGATGAAATGCATTTTACTCAGGTTACCTAACCTCAGAACAAATTTTACTTACAAAACTAATTCAATAATAAAACGCTTGATATTAGTCATATTTTCATTTAAGTATACATCATCAAATTTTATTTTTATCATTCAACAACAAAAAACTCCTAGGTTTATTGATGTTCTATTGGGAAGATAGCATTTTGCAGGCAAAAGAATTACGAAGATGCTGCAAGTTTTATTTAATCCTTTCTTTCTCTAACTTTTTGGAAGATCAAAGTGATTATAGAAGCATACATGGAGGAGGTGAAGTTTTGAGGACGGTCTTGAAAAATGCAAAGGATAAAGGCCAGCGATTTCCAAGACTTTTCAGTCAGAACTTGACATTCTCAAAAAGTCATTGAGGACTTCAGGGAGCTTTTGTTTATATTGTTATTGCTATTTGTAACATCAGAAATGAAAACTGTGTCTAAAATTTAAAGTTAAAAAATACTTTAGTGTTGTTTTATAGGCCCAGATAACACTTTCCAGAGACTCTTGTCCTGAGAAGTAAAATTACCCACTCAAATATTCTGTCTAGATTGTATCTTCTAGCTGCACGGGTTGATGAGGAACCTTCCTGTGGGTTATCATTCTCTTGATTTGCGTCAAGTTGAGGACTGGATTTTTATGTGCCCCCTTCGTATTTGCTGTTTTTTCTTTTCCTTGATTCTTTCCCCATAGTTGTCTGTAGTACAAGCTTTAAAAAAGAAAAGTGGGTTGGCAGCTAGGGATGCATCTTTAGGAGCTGGAAGGAAAAGGGGACTATTTCCCTCTAGTCTGCAGCCAGCCAGGTCTGGGAGAATATGGCAGTAGAGAAGAACTCCAAGGAGGAGAGTTCCGTGGTGGCAGTTTCCCAGAGGCAAGGAAAACGTGGTGTCTCAGGGTTCTTGAGCAAAAGGGGAAGAATGAATCAGAGAGCTGGTTATAGGCTTGATGTCATTTAGAGCAGAGTAACTAACTGAAAAGGATTGTGTGGGGTTTCCAGTCCTGATGCAATGGCGAGTTTATGTTGATGAAGGGAATAGTGGGAAGTGATGTTGGACAGCAAAGATAGAGATTATCTTTTAAGGTTTATTACTATTTTAACATGTAATAAAGTTTCTGTGATTACAAAGAGTGTCTGATTTACTGAAGAGAGTTGCAAGGTGATGACAGAGGATTCCCCTACATAAACTCTGTGGCATCCATTCCTAGGAGCAGCCTTGGTGAATTTTCTAAGCCCAGCCTTGGGGTGGTAAACCCCTTGTGCCTGTGGTGGGTTGTCCCCCACAGCTTGACAAGTTTTATGGAGGGCTTTTGACTGCTGGTTTGAAGAGTTTGGATGTCATCAAAGTATGGGAGCTGGCAGCCTTTCGAAGTGTTTAATTATTTACCCTCACCCAAGGGAGGTGTCCCAACTGAGCTGGTCAGCAGAGGTACAGGGAAGTCCAGCTCTAGGGTCTAAGGGTCTGAGGGGCGCGAACTGTGGGATTGGGCAGGGTGTCTTGTTGCCCGCTGAGCTCTCTGTTTCCCTTTTTGATTCAGTTTATTTTGGAAGTAAGTAAATTTGTGTCTCAAAATTATAGTTATTCCCTATCATTTTTGCCTATGCTAAGGAATTATCAGTTAATTTTACACATTAGTGGAATTAAGTGACCTTGGTAAAAGGCTAGAAACACATGAAGTGGGTAGGCAAAGGGGCGAACTTCAGGGTGGAAAAGGGACTTTAGTAGGGGTGTAGAAAGGCACCAGACCTCTACAGGCTAGGCACAACGTGACAGTTTCATGAAATACCTACAGTGTCTCTTTCCTTTTGGCATACATTCAGTAAGTGCTTGAATGCCTCTTTATGTCTGAAGCTCTATGCTGGGCTCTGAGAATGAGAAGACCCTGCCTTTCAGGAGGCTAGTGCTGTATTGTGGTTGATATGGTTACTCCAATCCTGTGACAGCAGGACTGGTCTTGCTTGAACAGTACACAATGGTATGGAAACACAAAGGAAAGGATAGAAATTGAGCCTTAAGGAAGAGGTGTAATTTAATTGGGGGAAATAGATGAGGAAGAAGAGTATCGAGAGAAGAGCATCCATGAAGGTGAAAGTATGCCATGTTTGGCATGTAATTGTACTGCTTGAACATAGGGTAATGAGGGTTTTTGGGACTGGAAACTTAAATTAGGTCAAGTTGTGAAGGGCATTTATTGTTGAAGAATTTGGATTTTAGGCTGCAGGCAGTACAGCACTTTGCTTCTTAAATCCCGAGCCAAGATGATTAGGGAAGCAGTACAGCAAAATTCTAAGAGCAGTCTCTTAAGTCCTACTGTCTTGGTTCAAATCTTAGCACTTCTATCTACACAAAAAATTTCTGTCTCAGTTTCTAAATCTGTGAAATAGGGATGATATTGCAACTGCTCAATTATTGTGTGACTTAAGTAATCTATGTAAGTTTTGTGTATTTAGCCAAATGACTCAAATATAGTGAGTTATTGTTTTTTATTTTACTATTAGTTATTGTAATATGTGATTGGCAATTCTAAGTTAGAGAATATAGTCATTTGCCCTTTGGAACCTGGATTTTGAAACCGATTAGACCGAGCATTTATTTCTAGGCAGCTTTATGTCTTTTACCTAGAGCATGTAGGAGGAAGTCAGCAGAGTCTTGTGGTGAAAAGATTAGCTGTATTCTCCAGATTACAGAGAGCTTCAAGATTCTAGACCTCAAAATCCTCACCAGGAGAGTGCTCAGTTGCTGATAAGATCTGAGCGAATGAAGTCACACCAGGCCTTGCGGAAGTCTTCCTGTTATTTCCAGGTCAATCTGCAGTAGGCTAGTTCAGGTGTGTGCTGGAAACTGGGTGTGTCTCCTCACTGTCTCAGTGAGTCTCAATTAAACCTGGTTCTGGTTCACTTAGGGATATTTGTCATTTATCACACTTACCACTCTAACAGCCTGAACCAAGTAAATTCCTGAACCTCAAGTGCTCTGGAACCTGAACTAGGGTCTCTTGCCTAGCTGTCTCTCAAAGTCTCACCAACAAGCCCTTAGTCCAGCTAGAGAGCCATTACTGGCTAACCGTGATTAAACAGTTTTGTTTGGCTAAAACAATATCATATACTGTATTCTAAAGTAGGCACTTGGTGGTAGTTAAGGAATGAATTTGGACTTTATATGAAAGGCAGTGGGAAACATTAGAACAATGAAAGAGCTTTAAGTTAGGAATTTGGGCCATTCAAATCTGCACTTTAGAAAAACCATTGTGTTATGGAATGCTGACTGGAAACAAGCAGGACTGGAAGCAGAGAGATTAGTTAGGAGGCTCTTATAAGTAGTTTGGTGATGGAAGGGTGATACCTTGGGGTAGAATCTTGGAAGGGCTTGGAGCTGGGCAAGTTCACCAGAGATTTAGACATCTTATTCAATGTTGATGACCCTAATCACTAGACTAGCAAATGTAATCATTTGCTGCTGCCAAGTAAAGCTTTCTCCCTCAAAAATTAAGAATTTTTTTGTATTTCAAGAGAGCCAAGATATTGATATCATCAAGGAAGGCTGACTGGATAGCCACCTAAGAAGAGTTTCACAAAATATCACTTTGCTGTAGCTTTTTTATATTGACATTTTTGTTTTAGCATGTCTTGAGAGAGACTGACACATACATTTTACATGTAAAGACTTACTTTGTACATTAGAATGTGGTATAACTTCTGAGTGGGCTTTGAATTGTGCCAGTTGGTTTAGTCTATTCCTATTAAGAGAATCTTCTTTGGAAGCTAAATTATAGACAGAAGGTTGCTTGGGGAATCATGGAATTGGAACAAAGGGCATTTCATTACATGAACTCATTGACTAGTGGGGTGATGTGATAACTTGATACTTCCCTTCAACTAAAAGGACACACTTATCAAACAAGCTAGAAAGTGCTTTGGATTGTTTTAGTTTACACTTACCCTTGGTTAGATTTGAGCTGGGAGGTATTTTTACTTTGGGGTGATTTAACAGGTTTGATTCTCAAAAGATAACCTTATTTCTAAGTTTGGAAGATATTTTAATTTCAGTATTATGAATTGAATTGTCTTTTTTTTTTTTCAATAGTGTCCATGGGCTACCCCTCAAAATACAATATCTTGTTCTTTGGCTGATGTAATGAGTGAACAGTTGGCTAAAGAGTTGCAGTTAGAAGAAGAAGCCTCCACTTTTCCTAAAGTTGCGTAAGTAAAATTCACAAAGAATCTAGTTTGTCTAGCAGCTTATTATAACAAAGTTTTAGGATTTGATTAGTGATTGTCATCACAAATGATTAAGAAATACATTTATCAAAGCAGTGCAGTAGTAAGAGCACCATACTGGGAGTCTACTGATTGAGTTTTGGTCTTAATTCTGTGATCAGTTTTCCGTGTTATGGTGGGCAAACCTTTCTGTTTCTTTGTGTTTTAGTTATTGCAACAGTCAAACCAGATGGTCTCCAAATTATCAAATAATGTTTTAAACAGATGTCTGTAGGTTATCTTTTTGTATAGATGTTATCTCTCCTTTGATTAGAACACAGAAGAAATGAATTCTGGGTCATAGTGTGGATTTTAGTTAGACTCTTCAGCTTTCTCTCGCAGCTTTCTTAACCCTAGTTGGTGCTCTCACAGATTCTGTCGTTAATCAGAGGGCAGCTGGGCAGGAGAAAGTGCTTTGGTAAAGTTTTTTCCATTGTTTCTTTAGTACAAATTTTAATAGTGAAAAAGCACATCCTACTTTCATCATTGGTAGCATCTGTTTCCATAAGCACAGTATATTAGTTTATATTGCCTTATTTTGAATAGTGTTGCTGAAGGACCATTTATTACTGGAGAAAACACTGATACTTCCAGCGACCTAATGCTGGCTCAGATGCTACAGATGGAATTTGACAGAGAATATGATGCACAGCTTAGGCGTGAAGAAAAAAAATTCAATGGAGATAGCAAAGGTACTATGACCTTATTGTGACAACTGCATTGGGTGGTACAAAATGCTTGTAAAGTGCTCCTAAATAAGTCTTCATCTGTTTTTGCCTTTTAAGTTTCAATTTCCTTTGAAAATTATCGAAAAGTACATCCTTATGAAGACAGTGATAGCTCTGAAGATGAGGTTGATTGGCAGGATACTCGCGATGATCCCTATAGACCAGGTATCAATGCTTTTTTTTTTATGGGAACATAGGAAGACTAAGTTTTCCAACGAATCCTTATATTTTATATTTATCTTTGGGTCACGTTTGGTAATTTACTATTAGATTTAGTTATCTCTTCAGACAGTATTGAATTCAGCAATTTAGTCTTTGCTATTTTTACATACTCGATTTGTCTTGATTGCCTTCAGCAAAACCAGTTCCTACTCCCAAAAAGGGTTTTACTGGAAAAGGAAAAGACATCACCACCAAACATGATGAAGTAGTGTGTGGGAGAAAGAATACAGCCAGAATGGAAAATGTAAGTTACAGAAAGGGTTATCTCTGAATTGAGAGTTATATTATAATAAGTTAAAAACATGGGATTCTGAAGACAGTATCTTAAATTTTTAAAAATATCCTTTGTCCTTTCTAAAGATGTTTTAGATGATAATATGGCAATGTCATGAAAACTTTTAGCCAATAATGAGAATATAATGTACCACAGAATAAAATTCTATAATATTAAGAAAAATAGTTTGATTTATATTGATTCTAAAATTAAGAGATTGTTCTCAGGAAAGTAACATTTATTTTTTAGCATATTACTTTTCATAAAATAGTACCCCTACCCAATAATGGATAACAGTGGTGATTGGGGGATAGGTATGGGAGACAGAAATACTTTCTACTATATCCCCTTTTATACTTTAAAAATGTTTTTATCTTGTGTCTGAACTACCCCTGAAAAATCAGAAATAAAGTGTAATTTAAAAAAATAGAAAAAGGAAAAAATAGCATTTGTTCTCCTTCATAAGTATTTTGGTTAATATAAAACATTTATTTAGACTTGAGCCCTGACTGGTGTGGCTCAGTGGATTGAGTACAGACCTGCAAACCAAAGGGTTGCTAGTTTGATTCCCAGTCAGGGCTCATGCCTGGGTTATAGGCCAGGTCCCCAGTAGGGGCATGTGAGAGGCAACCACACATTGATGTTTCTCCCCCTCTCTTTCTTCCTCCCTTCTCTTCTATCTAAAAATAAATAAATTGAACAAAAAACATGTAAACTTGAGAATATAAATACTTGTTAACTAAACACATTATTACATTCTAGAAAGTCTAGATCTGACTCTAGAACAACCCTTTCCAATAGAACAGCTGTGACAGTAGAAATGTTTTCTATTTTCTGTCTATGCTATCTAATATTTTAGCCATATTTGACAATTGAAATATAACTGAGGAACTGAATTATTTATTTTATAATACTTTAATTAATTTGACTTTAAATATCCTCATGTGGCTAGTGGCTATTATGTTGAACAGTGCAGCTCTAGAACATAATTGTCCTAGAGTGGGCATAGCTTGCTATACAAACCCACTCCTCAGAAAGAATTAATTATGAAAGTATATTTCTTTGGTAAGATTTGGTGTAGTCTGCAAAATATAATGCCCTTTGTCTTACGTAAAGCAAGGTACAAAGCTTATGCTGAAATGCCTTAGTTTTTAGATGTGATTCTGTGCACAGAAGAGAATAAACGTCTTCCTTTTGGTTACAGTTTCTTAAATAGCCTTGATCTCATTCCTGTTGAATTTATTAAGGAGTCATTTTATCTTTTTTTTCTGTAATATCTATGGGTTCTGCTTTCATAGCCTGATGATTTATTATTGAGTAGGAAACCTGTTTCAAGTAAAGACTGATCTCATTTTTTGTTTTTACTGGCCCCATTTTAAAATATTCAGATGCTAATTCTTCATTTTGTCAGTTTGCACCTGGGTTTCAGGTAGGAGATGGAATTGGAATGGATTTAAAACTGTCAAACCATGTTTTCAATGCTTTAAAACAACATGCCTACTCAGAAGAACGTCGAAGTGCCCGCCTCCATGAGAAAAAGGAACATTCTACTGCAGTAAGTAATCTTACATCTTTTTCTCTTTGATATTTCTGTCATGAGATTAGTTTTCCAAATCAAAGATGTAACTAAAACCCAAGTAGCTTTGCTTTTTAGACTTTTCAGATTTAATGTAATGGTTATTAATTACTCATTTAAAACTAATATTTCAGTGGTCATAATTTGAACTGTATAGTTTACATTGCATATTGAATGTTCTAAGATTTTAAAGAAATTATGGCATATTAATTTGGAAGTCTCAATATTTTACATTAATGAAGATAATGGCTAATATCTTGAGAGCAAAGTAATTTTTAAACTTTTAGAAAAACAAACTATGAGTAAGTATACTGGTAAAGCTGTTTAAACTTTGGGTATAAAATAAGATTTTGACTAAGCTAATGCTGGACTTTTAATGATTCTTTTAGATACTCATTTCCAAGGACATTAGAGTTAAAGTTACAGGAATGAGTTGTATCTTGACACTACTCTTAAGAGCCTATTATAAGTAAATAATAAAGTAAAGGTTTTAAAAGTATATGTTTTGAATGTTTAATATTAGAAATGGCTCAGAAAATTTTATGTGGTGAACATTTTTATTTATAGTGCTTATCTCTTGCAGGAAAAAGCAGTTGATCCTAAAACACGTTTACTTATGTATAAAATGGTCAACTCTGGGATGTTGGAGACAATCACTGGCTGCATTAGTACAGGGAAGGAATCTGTTGTCTTTCATGCATATGGAGGGAGGTAAATGAACAAAATACAATACCATCATGTTAACAAAAGCTTAGCCCCTTCTCCCCAATATGAACGGATTTACACAAAATCAAAGTTAATGCTGCATGGAAAGCAGATTAATTTGAAAAGTGTTACTGTGGAAAATCTAGACAGCATAAGAATGTAGAAAGAAAAACAATCATTTTAATCCCACCCTCTGGAGGTAACCATTAATTTTGTGTAGACTCCTTTAATCTTTTTTCTATGCATATGTTAATACTTTCTACTTTATTGTAATCATACTATATCATACAGGCAGCTGTAAGTTTTAGAGCAAAATCTGAATCTGGGTTTGTCCCAAAACCCAAGTTTTTCTACTGTGGGGCCTTTTGGTACCAGGTCTAAGGAAACATGCGTAGATCAGCCATTGATTCCTCCCCTTATATCGCCGATCCTTACTTTTAGAAATACTGGTTTTAAATAAAGCTTACATTATTTAAGAAAACATCTTTTAGAGATCTAATGCTATTTATTTATTTTTAATTTAATCTTAGTTAATTTACTATTTTTTTCTTACTCGTAACTTGAAGGCTATTATTATTTTGTATTATTTTCTGTTGCCATTTAACCCTCTTATCCCTCCTCCGCCCACAGTCACCACACTGTTGTCCTTGTCCATGAGTCTTTTTACCTTTTTTCTTGATCCCTTCACCCTCTAAACACTCCTGCATAGTTGCTCTCTGGGAGTCTATCTCGATTTTGCTTGTTAGTTCAGTTTGTTCATTAGAGTCTACATATCAGTGAGAGATGTTATACTGTTTGGATCTTACCCATTTCACTGTTGTTACCAGGGTTTGGTGAATAAAGAACTGCATGAGGAAGAAGAACACTTTTAAAAGTAGAGCCTGTTTAGAGAACATGTCAGGAATATGAAATCATCTGATTACTTACCATTGAAGTCACAGTAAAGCTTACTAGAAAAAGAAAAGGATTGCCCTGGCTGGCGTAGCTCAGTGGATTGAGCACAGGCTGCGAACCAAAGTATCGCAGGTTCGATTCCCAGTCAGGGCACATGCCTGGGTTGCAGGCCATGGCCCCCAGCAACCGCACATTGATGTTTCTCTCTCTCTCTCTTTTTCTCCCTCCCTTCCCTGTCTAAAAATAACTAAATAAAATCTTTTAAAAAAAGGATTAAAAATGATTGTTAGGATAAAATAGTTCAACATTTTTCCAGCTATGTGATATGGAGCAAGTTACTTAACCTCATTTGTAAATTGACCCTTGCCTCATAGGATTTTTGTGGGGATAAATGAGGTCGGTCATATTGATATTACTTGGTATGTTAATCTTAATAAACATTTATTCTTCCTTACTTTAAGCTTTGTTGCCCTCTTTCCAAATTTAATTCGAGGGTTCTCTAAGACCAGGCAGATATAACTGAATGGCACAAATTATTTAAAATGAAAAGATTACTCATGGTAGAAATTAAAACTTTACAGAAAGGATTAAAATGGAAAGTAGCCTTCATCTTAACCAACTCTTGCCCACAGATCTTTTTTTTTTAAAGAGCCACTATTAACAATTCTAACGCTAGTGTTCCAGAAATTTTTATGCGTATATCCCTATTTTGTTTATATAAAAGAGATTATACTCTATGTTCAGAGTCTTGCTTTCTCAGTAATATATCTTAGATCCTTCTATATTACTGGCTTACATCACCCCATTTTTATGGTAGTGCATTCTATTGTGTGAATATATAGGAGTATCATTGTACATTTACCTTGATATGCTTTTGCCAATATATCCTTAAGCTAAATTCCTAACAATGAAATTGATGGGGCAAAGACAATATGCACTTTTTGTTCCTTTTTGTTAATAGTGGAAGGCCTCATTGAATGGAAAGTACTAGATTTGCTCACTATTTGGGCCTCTGAACTGGCTATGTAGCAAGCAGTGTTTCTTGATCTCTTTTATTTATTAAAAACTAAAAAAAATTGTATATCGTACCAAGGCTACATAACAAATTAACAGAGGCCTAGCAGCTTAAAAACAACACCCATGGATTATACAGAAAATTATATATGGAATTTTAAAAATAGATGCTTATATATGTGGATGCTTGTGATATGGATCTTTTTTAAAAGGCTAGGAAGAGGCTGTTCATGATGGTGATTGCCTGTGAAGAGGTGGAATAACGAATGAAACTACCTGGGGTAGTAACTGAAGGGAACTTCAGTTTTATTTATAATGTTTAATTCTTTAAAAAAAAATTAAAGGGCTGAGAATGGAGAATTGAAGCTTAGGCAGTGAGATTTAGAAGATACGTGTTCAGAGGTAATAGGATATAAAACCATATAAGCAAACCAGAAGTTGATAAGGAGGACCTTAAAAACTAGGCAGAGAGAAGTGTTAATTTTAAGAAACCGGGAAGTCTTTTAGTAGGAGAATGACAAGATGAAGATTGTAAATTGGGATCTGTCCTAGAGACCTTCCAAGTAAGGAATCTCTTCAGTGGTGTTTCTGATAGGGCTTCATCTCTCTTATGGCTGAACTATAGTCCAGTGACAGCCTATCAGCTCGAAATCCAAAGATGTATATAACATCTTTAAATTATGGGGAATTTCTTTTCTTGATAGAATCTCTAATCTGTCTCCCTGAAAACTGACTCATCAATTCACCAAGTATTTGTGGGGCTAGCGTGTGCCAAGTACTCTTCCAGGAACTGGGGATACAGCAGTGAATGGTACAAGGAAGGTCTCTGCTCTCATAGAATGTGCTTCCTCCCCACCCCAACACCCTTCCAAGACACTAATAAATAACAAAAAAATATCAGATAGGTACTGTGGTAGTTAAAATAGAGTGATGTCTTAGTGACTGGTTGACTACTTTTTATTAGTAGGACAGTGAAGGCTTCTCTGATGGTGACATTTAAACTAAGATTTGAATGACATCTAGGATACAGTATAAAGATCAGGTGGAAGAACATTCTAGAGGACAGCTAGTGCTTATACCTTAAGACAGGTATAAGCTTGGTACCTTTGAGAAACTGTAGGAAAGCCAGTGCTCTGGAGCATAGTGTGTGAAGGAGAGCGAGGAGCTGGAGAAGTAAGCAGAGGTTAGACTCTGAGGCCAGGACAAGGAGCCTGCTCTTTATTTAAGTGTAGTGTGAACCAGAGTGGTGATATGTGTTTTGTTTTCAAAATATTACTTAGACTGCTATGTGGAAAGCGAATTATAGCAGGGCAAGAGAAGAAACAGTACAATCAGTTAAAGTTATCGTAATAGTTTAAATGAGAGATAACAGTGGTTTGAACTAAGGAGGTGGTAGTGAAAATGAAGACAAGGAGACCATTTGTATGTGTTTTGAAAGTACGAGTCAATAATATGTGCTGATGGATTGGATGTGGGGTACAGAAGGATAGATTCTTGGCTGGAAGAGCCAGGTGGTGCCACTTACTGAGGCAAGAGTCAGGGAGGGTAGGTTTAAGGTGCAGTTATCAAGAATTTTGTTTTGGATATGTTAACTTGGAGATTCCTGCTAGATGTCCAAGTGGTGTCAAGTAGGGATTATGTAAATTGGCCTGAAGTTCTAGAGAAAGTCAGAACTGAGGACAGAAATGTAGGAGTTATCCATATAGAGAGGTTATTTAAGGCCATGGGGCTAAATGAAATTTCCCTGGAAGGAGAAGGCAGTTACTTAGAACCAGTTGGAGTACTGGAGATCATCTGCGGCTGACTGGAGCCAGAGGAGTCAGCAGGGAAAATACGGTTCAGAAGGAGGGGGGGTTGGGAGTTTGAGTCAGATTCTGCCTTCTGGAAATACAGTTCCTTTCCTTTCCAGCTTAATACTCCTTCAGATATTTAAAGCTAAATATTGTTGTCTCTTCCCCCATCCTCCATGTCATTCCACGGCCACCACCATGATTCAAACTTGTTCAGTGGCTCACATTGCATTAGCAGGCTAAGCAGGCCCCACACCTCTCTCTGCTCCTGCTCCCTGTGGTCCTGACGTTGTCATTGACTTGCTGTCATGAAGTATGTCAAGCCCTTGGTGATTCCTGCTACCTTTGGGAATACATCCAGGCTTCTCACCCAGGCCGTCAGGGCTCCCTACAAACCTGCCTCCATCCTGTTCCTTTGGCTCTAACTTCTGCAATTTCTTCTCTTCAGCCAAGTCTTAACTGTAGTGTTTGCTTCTCAGACAGGTCCTGTAGTTTCCTACCTCTCCTGTTGTTAACACTGTGACTGCACCTGTTCATATTCTACCCATTGTCTTGGTTCTGTTTCAGATGTCACCTGTGCCATGAGGCCTTTCCTAGCCTTTCCAACCAAAGGGACCTGTCTATTCATATACTTCCCCTTTATTCTACCCTGGCCCTCCTTGCGTACTCACAGGGCAGGGACCCCTTCACTCCTTTCACTGCTAGCAGTTAAAGAGACAATTTTAAAAAACTGTTCTGTTTTGTTGCTTTTATTGAATTTTGCCCCTGAACCATCCCAGGTAGGCTGTAGCCTATTTGAAAATATGTATGTCTTCATTGTTCCTTGAGCTTGATTCCATAGTCATTAAGCGAAGATTATATTATGGATTGTTGAAAACTGATTGACAGTTTATTTGAAAGTGTGTTTGATTTAAAAAACCAGAACCTAAGGTTATATTAATACTCAAAACTTGAAAGCTAAAAAAATAACCAAAAACAAGACTTGTCATTCTCAGAGGAGATAAATCTACTCATATATCACAGAATCTTTATTTGAAATTGTTTTCCTTGTGACCTGGCAACTTATATTGACTTAATTTTTTTTTCTTCCATTTAGCATGGAAGATGAAAAGGAATGTAGTAAACTTATACCTACAGAATGTGCCATCAAGGTGTTTAAAACAACCCTTAATGAGTTTAAGAATCGTGACAAATATATTAAAGATGACTTCAGGTTTAAAGATCGCTTCAGTAAACTAAATCCACGCAAGATCATCCGAATGTGGGCAGAAAAAGAAATGCACAATCTCACAAGGTAAAGAAAATCATTGTGCTAGAAGCAATCTTGAGTGATTATCTGTTTGTGCTAGGCCTGTTAGCCAAGCAAAAAATCTATGCTTTCTTTTAAATTCATTTGTAGAAATTATGGGAGGCCTTGAAATGCTAGTGTTTGATAAGGCTTTCTATAAGGAACATCTTTATGCATATAAGTATGAATTTATATTTTTAGGATAAATAAGCCATTTTATTTTCTTGGTAAAGTTACAGGGAAATAAAGTCATTTTCTGCCTAAGATAATTTGTCGTATATCTAAGTGCTATCTTTTATCATCCTCCAATTAGGCTTATTATAAATAATGATTTCCCTTTTTTTGTTTCAGAAATGTTTTTTACATGTAATGTTTGTCAGTTTAGTGGGGGTAGAATCTTACCAGTCAAATTGCATTTTGCTTTCATTTGTTTCTGAATTGTGTAAGCAGAATTTATCAAGGAATTTGTTTTATTAACCAAGTAACTGAGTAATAATCTTACTCATTAAAAAACCTTCCCATATCTTAATCTTATTAAAAGCTTAATTTTAGTTTATTTTTTTCTAAAGATGTTTGCTTTCTGATGTAATATCTATATTTATTAGTAGCAAAATTCTTCTACTTAGTAGGTCTTCTACGTATAGAATAATTTCCTAAGAGGTCTTGCTGGCCCCTTCTATTCTTTTCTGTACTACTGAGATCTCACCTCAGCCTTTCTGAAAAATTTTCAATGGCCCCTATAGTCTTTGGTGTCAAGTTCAAAGTCCTTTTGTGATGTAGAGCCTACCTGTTACTGTAGCCTTTTCACCCATATTGCCCTTCCTTCTATTTAGGATCCACCTGTGTTGATTTATATACATTCCTCAAATGTATATAATGTACTCTCGAATGCCTACATGCATTTCCACAAGCTGCTTCCAACCTTAGAGTATCATTTCCCCACCCTGTCTTAACCTGGCTAATTCCCAGTTGCCCAGTTTTTCTAAGCCTTTCTTGATATTCCCCACCTCTGCCAGTTCATGCACCAGCCTGCACTGTAATCATCTCCTCACCTGTCTGTTGTTCCCACCATCCCATTTGCATTCCTGCTGCTCCAAGGTAGAATGTGCCAGATCATTGCAGGCCTTTGTTAGATGTTTTCTGAAGAAGTGAAACATTCTCTCCTTCTGATCTTTACATTATGGATAATTTCTTTCTGTATAGAATGCAGAAAGCTGGGATTCCTTGTCCAGAAGTTGTGCTACTCAAGAAACACATTTTAGTTATGTCTTTTATTGGCCATGATCAAGTTCCAGCCCCCAAACTGAAAGAAGTAAAGCTCAGTAGTGAAGAAATGAAAGAAGCCTACTATCAAACCCTTCGTGTAAGTTGTGCTTTTGAAAGCATTCACACCAACTTTTACAAATATTTCCTCTAAACTTTAAAAACATTTCCTAAAATAAAATAGTACTGCTTTATGGTGATATAATAAGAACAAAGTGATGTTTGTGAAGGAATGTTAACTTTGAATCAGAGTTGTTGCTATACCACTTTGTGTGTGTCTTGTGTCATTTTAGAAAAATAAACCTAGGAAGCAAGTGAAGGCTCAGTTGTTAGCATCAGTTACATAGGAGCATGACACTATTATTGAAAAAGCTTAAATAAAATTTGACATTACTGCATTTAGCAGTTATAGTGCCTAATTGATTTTTATGTTTTCTTGAATGATATTGCTCTGTGAAGGATTTATCTTTCTTCTTGGGAAATTCAGGGGAAGCACATTTGGACTCATTGTGGGAAAGTTCAGCTGAAAACCTAAGATGGTAGGGAGTGGTTTCTCCATCTGTGCAGGTGTTAGAGTTGGAAGGCATATGTCAGGAATCATGAGGAAGCCATTTATGCTCTAGGACAGCTACTGAGTTAAATCTGAGGTCTTTGTAGCTTAAGAAAATGCTCCCAATATTATTGTAACTTTTCTGTATTGTTTTAATTGATAGTGGAGAAACATGCTTTTTAAACAGTCTCTGCATGGAGCTTTCATGTCATTCAGCAGTTATGAATACAGAAGTGTTATACAAGTTCATTTTTAAAATGTTTATTGATTTTGGAGAGGGAAGGGAGTGACAGGAGAGAAATATCAGTGCAGTGTGAGGAGAAGCAGATCGATTGGTTGCCTCCCATATGCATCCCAACCAGGGATGGAACCTGCAACCCACATATGTGCTGTGAGTGGGAATCAAACTTCCAACCTTTAGGTGTATGGGACGATGCTCCAGCCAACTGAGCCACCCATTCAGGGCACAAATGAACCTTTTAAAATACAGCTAGGGAGATAATCCAACTTTCTTTGCCTCCTATGGGACAACATTCAAAGGAAAATCAAATTACTTTTATAGCTTCTTTTTTGGTGGTGGAGTGGCTGGGAAAGAGATGCAGTCGTAATGTACTTTTTCTGTTGGATTATATTAAGGCTGGGAAACAAACATTCACACTGACAGCTACTATAAGGCTAGGGCTCACCATCCATAATGAATATGTAATACCAATATCTTTTTCCTCCTATGTCTGGCAGGGACTACTTTTTAACCTTGGAATTATATATATCCCATAGAGGTTTCAATGTGCCATTTGCCCTTTTATGAAGGGTAAGCCTAGTCTCCTGATTAGTGACCATATACACCTGGCTGCTTAGTCCTGTAGAATCTAGGTCTGCCCCTTGGCCTCCAGATCTCATTGTTATCACAGGGAGAAGGAATTTGAGTGTCACACATTGATCCCCTCCATTATCTCACTCTTTTACCACTCTCTCTATCTTGAACAAAACCTGGTCCTAGGCTATACAAAGAGGAAGTAAGCTCTTTAACCTAGTCTTGATTCTCTGGATACTGTTGGTTAGCATAGACATTTTAGTTGTACTGGTAACTTAAGAGTTGTCTCTTCATTTCCTAAATGTCTGCCTCCCCTCCTCACAGTTGATGCAGCAGTTATATAATGAGTGCACACTCGTACATGCCGACCTCAGTGAATACAACATGCTGTGGCATGCTGGGAAGGTAAGGAGCATATTTTGTTAATGTTCAGATTAAATGACTTGATGTAAATTACTGAAAGTTAACCACTGCATGCTCTGTATTTAAATAGGTTTGGTTGATCGATGTCAGTCAGTCTGTAGAACCTACCCATCCACATGGCCTGGAGTTCTTGTTCCGTGACTGTAGGAATGTCTCACAGGTAGGCATGCAAGATATTCTTAGAAATTGAAGGAAGGATTTGGTTACTGGCTGCCTTCAAGATAAAGATACAAAGATCAATTTGTCACATGTTATTTTTAGCAAGAATTTGATTTTATGTCTCACATTTGGGCCATTGAATTAAATTTCCAATAAAGTAGTTTTTATCTTGGCTCCAAACATTTAAATAGTCCAGTAGACATTATATGCACAGTGCTTAAAGAGAAACTGCATGTAGGAAGCCTGCATGCTTACTGTCATTGTTATTACCATTAAAAAGCACAGTAGTCTTACTGGTACAGTGTCTGACCAGTGTTCTTTGAGGCAGAGTAAACACATTAGGAAAGGTAAAACTTAGTAATCACAGAGTTGGGTGGTTTGCTGTTTCCAAAAGAAACAAATTGTTACCAACAGATTTTAGATAGTAATTGTCTTTCTGAATGATAGAGTAACTTCATACTGGAACTAACTTCTGTGCCTTTTTGACAGTTTAAACTCATGGGATTTAGTGAATATTTTGAGTCTACACATTGAAAGTATGCCAACAATTTTATAAACCACTCATTTTTATAGCGTTAGAAGGTGCAAACTTAATCCAGCTGTAGACTGTGACAAACGTAACTCAGAAGACAGTTGTGGATGTGTAGGAGAGGACAAAGAACAAGTAGAACCTGAGCATAGTTGAACTTGAAGTAGGAAAACTTGTGGTTTAAAAGTTGTGGGAGGAATTCAGTGGTCTTACAAGTTACTGTTCCTTCTTTTTACAATACCTTGCTAATATCACTTACTGACTTTCTTATATTTCTTTTACTAGTTTTTCCAGAAAGGGGGAGTAAAGGAAGCCCTTAGTGAACGAGAACTCTTCAATGCTGTTTCAGGTTTAAATATCTCAGCAGATAATGAAGCCGATTTCTTAGCTGAGGTAAGCTTAGCTGTTCTTCTCCTTGCTGGTAATAGAGTACTAAATATTGTAAATAACTGAAACCCAGAGCTAATTTTATCCTTCTCTCCCCTCAGAAACAAAATTAATTTGAGATTGTTCTTTTCTTGAGATATTTTCGGTCCTTTCCCGGCTTAAACCTTAAGATAGATATAGCAAAACACTTCTTTGAGGAGTTCACAGTTTGGTTGAGATAGACAAATAACACATTTCCAGTACACTGTATTTCTCCCATTTTATGAAGTTAACTATTGAACATTCTGGGTGATATAAAAATTGGTAACATGTGGTCCCTGCTTATAACTGAACATAGAAAATTCCTAGTGGCCATTATTAGAAATAGCCAGTTATTATAACATGGATCTATAGAACCATAAAAAAATCTCCCTCCAGAGAAAATATCTTAAAATTGAACAAAAACTAAAAAGTGAAACAGCAGCCAATTATTCAACAATATACCAAAGCACAGAACAATTACAGAATCTGTTGCAGAACTCCCCCGTATGACTTGAATTTGGCAAGCTGTAGTCTAAGGCTAGAAGAGAAATACTAGAAAAGTGGTAAATCTAGCTTCTAGCTTCTAGCTCAGTACAGTTGTTCAGTCACAGGAGTTACCATTGTTGAATGAATGCTGGAAAATCCTTTCTTCTGTTCCCTGGAAGCTTTATAGAGTACACAGTAAGACATGCCAATTGCTAGCTTGATAAAGATAACTAAATATTCACCCTGGTGATATATTCAAGTAAGAACCATACTTGTATGTGTCGTGCTGTAATATATGTATGTGACACACTGTAATGTGTGCCACATACTGTAATTCTAATTCAAGGCCAGCATCATTAGGAGTGACCTTGTTTTAAGAGAGTAAGCATACTGGCTCAATCTAAAGTATAATTTCTATGAAATAGTATTTTGACAAATGGATTCCATTTTAAATGATTTTAATTTTGTAGATAGAAGCTTTGGAGAAAATGAATGAAGATCATGTTCAGAAGAATGGAAGGAAAGCGGCTTCATTTCTGAAAGACGATGGAGGTCCGTCAGTCCCACATGATGAATAGCAGTACCAGCATCCACTGCTTCCAGTGTTAGCACAGCGGTGATCTCTGGCTACCAATGCCAAATGCAGTTACGGGTGCCTGGAAAATACCAAAACGTGAGGAGGCGTGTACAATGGTGCTCTGTGCTTTTTTCCCCTTGTAACCCATATGCCAGAGTGTGGAATTTTTAGCTCGGCATCAAGAGAATAAAATGTCACTACCTCTCATCTTATGAATCTTACATACCTTATGAACAGGATAATATAATTCTTTAACAGGTACAGGTTATTTGGTTGAAATCAACCTGATTTTACAGAATTCATGATATAAAATGTTTTGATGAGAATTTTTAAAACTTAGGTAGTATTTCCAAATATGGGAGGAAAGGACAGATGTGTTTACAAGGGAGGCTTTTATTACAACATACTTGCTCTGATCACCTCCCTGCTTTGTGTTTCATCATTCCTCAGTTAGCCGGCCTGAAATTAGCCCTTCTCAGTTCTTTTTCCAGAGTGTGACCATGATTCTAAAGGAAAGTGTCTTATTTTAGTAGGTGTTGTCCATGGAAATCTGGTTTCAGAATGGTTGATGGAAAGATATAAGCAAAATACTTTTTATGGGTACATCATAAATATAAACTGAATTCTTCTTTCCCATAGTCATATCCAAGAAAAGGCATCGTAAGTTTCTGAAAGATAAATATATAAGATCTTAACCATCCAAATTTTTAAAATTAAACTTTTAGCATTTCCACATTTAGGTTGAAATGGATAGAATATAACTCATGGTATGGTTGCTCTGCATTTATAATGAAAATGTAAATTACCTGGAAGGGCAAAATATAAGGTTTAACCTTGTTTGACATATTTTAATGAAGCCAATGACACAAAGTTCAGTTTACATTTCACTCAAGCTACATACTTACTGATTTATTTTGAGAGAAATATAGCAAGCTAATTAGAAATATTTCATAGTCAAATGATGAACACTAGCTTTGAAACAAGTTGGGTACCAAATTAACCAACTAATTTATACTATCTGACCTCACTCTTAATAATTTTTAGTACTGGCTGGATGCCACTTCTTAAATAAAGCAAGCACTGTACTAGAAAAGTACATTGGCTCTGTTAGGATTGAAATTCATTAACTATGATGTAATCATTCCTCCTATTAATTTCAGATTGGAACCACTGGAGACCCAATCTGGTAACAGAAAGTAAAAATGTAAACATTATTTACACTTGAAAGCTTCTCCTTTAACATTATTTAAAAATGCCAAATATGTTTTTTCTAGAAAAATATTTATTTTTGTTTCTGTTGTATAACTTTCACTGCATTTTAGAGAAGTGTGATTTGGGGTAGATACTTAAATTACATTTCTGAAATGTCTACTACTCCAAAACAAAGATTTCAATGACTGGTGATTATTGGCTTTACAGAAATTTCATAGATCTAATTTTTAAAAACCATTAACCATTTAAAAAGTTTTTTGTTTTCTGACATACTCTATTTGTCTAAGAGCAGCAAACCATTGCTGTGTGGCATTCTTGGAGTGTGCTGTGAACACACTTTTTAAGAAATTAAAAATGAAGAGATCATTTTAGAATTGGTTCTTTGTGTGGTTTCTTCCTGTTCTTGTATTAACTGATGTCCTGGCACCAAGTTGCTCCTTCTGCATAAAATTAAGCAGTGCCATTTTAAGCAGTTTTCTCCCCTCAACTTCTCTTACTTAGATTTCACTTTCAAATGACCATCTTAACATTACAAATAAGTTTTTTCCCTTCCTATAGGCTGGAGAGTAAATTTTCCACATAGTGGAAAAAATAAAGTGGAAAACGGTTTGCTAAAGAATAAATACATTCCCTGGCCAGGTAGCTCAGTTGGTTAGAGCGTTGTCACAATACACCAAGGTTGCAGGTTTGATCCCTGGTCAGAGCACATACAATAATCAACTAATGAATGCATAAATAAGTGGAACCCAAATTGATGTTTCTTTCTCTTTCTAAAAAAAATTTTTTTTAAAGTAAATAATAAGCCTGGCTGGCGTAGCTCAGTGGATTGAGCTTGGGCTGTGAACCAAAGTGTCGCAGGTTTGATTCCCAGTCAGGGCACATGCCTGGGTTGCAGGCCACGGCCCCCAGCAACCACACATTGATGTTTCTCTCTCTCTCTCTCTTTCTACCTCTCTTCCCTCTCTAGGAATAAATGAATAAAATCTTTAAAAAAAAAAAGTAAGTAATAAATACAAAGGGGGAAGACACAAAATATGGATATGTTCATTGATTTTGAGAGGGAGAGGAAGATGGGGAGGAGGGAGAGAGACATCAGTTGGTTACCTCCTGACACACTCTGACTGGGGATTGAACCAACAACCTAGGCATGTGCCCAGACCAGGAATCGAATCCACAACCTTTTGGTGTAGGGGACGATGTTCCAGCCAACTGAGCCACCTGGCAGGGGCTGCTTCACTTTAATGAAAGTGAGTAACAAAGTAAGTTAGCAAAATAGGGATGATTCTAGGAAATTCTTATCTCAGCGAGATAATTTATTATCAGCCTCCTCTTTATAAAGTGATTTACAAAACTAAGCCACGCATGCTCATTTGAATTAAATATTACAAAAATTCAGAAATGCTAAGCGAAAGTCCTTTGTATTCTAAAAACCACTGTTTATAGTGTGGTGTACATCCCTGCCATTTCTCCCCCCTCATCATATGTTACTCTGTCTTTCTTTTCTTTCATCCTCACCTGAGAACATGCTTACTGATTTTAGAGAGAGGGCAAGGGAGGGAGAGACATCAATGTGAGACAGAAACATTGGTTAGTTGCCTCTTGTACATACCTGACTGGGGACTGAACGCACAACTTAGCCATATCCCCTGACTGGGAATCGAACCCACAACCTTTTGGTTCTCCAACCAACCGAGCTGCACTAGCCAGGGCTGTTATTCTCTTTAAAAAAAAAAACAAAAAAACAAACCATCTTTGAGCAGAAAACAGGATGATGTGAGGCAGCTGATGGTGCAATATTGATCATGGTAGATCCCTGCTCTCCTCCCCAAGGAAGGTGAAGCAGATAGAGGCCCTGAGGTTGTTATAGGCAGTCCATCTTTTGTGGTTCATTTAGGCTCTGGGCCTCAGAAGAGACTGCTGTCTGTACCTTTTAGAATTCTGAGTAGTTTTCTAGCACTTAAGACATTGGGTGGGAAAAGCTCATCTGATTGGATTTTCAAGCCTCATCATATTTTTTGAAGATATGTATTTTTCTATTTGAATTTTAAAGTGATTTCATAAAAATTAAAGAATGATTTATGTTTTCAAAGTATATTTTCTACTTGGAAATACCAGTTTCTTCTTTTGCAAGCTTCTTGTTTTTATTCTTTGATTTCCAATTTAAAAATATTAAAAGGTTACATTTGGGAAAGCATTATTTTTTCTGCCTGAGGCTTTCCAACTTTCTCCCAAACATAGCTAGCTTTTTCAGAGTTAAGATCAAATATAGTTAAAGATAAAGTAGCAGATGAAGTGGGAAGATGGGGTATTCATTACAGAATTAGTGAGTGAGCTACTATTTATATAGCTCTGTGAATACTTTTCAATCTGTGCCTTCTGGGACATAATCAATTAGAATACTTGATACTATAAGAACAATATCTCGGTAAAGCGCAAGAAGAGCTAAGATTTATAAAAAACGTAGAAAATGTCAAGGATTTGAGAAGTTAAATTTGAAGCAAGAAGTAGAAACATAAATCCATTGCTTGAAGTGTTAATATATTGTTATTAAGCAGCAAAACCAACTACACATCTTCTATTTCATCTTTTGGAAGTTGTATTTAAAAAATGGTGAAACAAACATTGAACCCTGTTCCCCCAAATGTGTCTCTTGCTAATTCATATATTGAAGCCTTAACCTCTAAAATGATAAGTGTTTTTAGAAGTAGGCTTTTAAGGAGGTAATAAAGGGTAAGAGAAATTATTAAGGGTGGAGCCTTAATTCAATAGGACTAGTGTCCTTATAAGGAGAGAGACACCAGAGATCTCTCTATGTAAGCACAAAGGAAAGGTCATGTGAGGGTACCTGCCATGTGCACCCCAACAAGAGAGGCTTCACCAGATACCACTCCTGCTGTTGCTTTAATCTTGGACTTCTATCCTCCAGAACTATAAGGAAATTAATTTCTGTGTTTGAAGCCACCCAATCTGGGTATTCTGTTATAGTAGTAGGCCAAGCAGACTAATACATAGCCCAAGATAAATACAAAGTTTGGTGGATGGGCATTCTGCTGCTTCCACTGAATTTTGCTTGGTTGAAAAATATCTAAGATATTTGGGAAATTTTCAGATGCAGTTGTGGGAACATTGCCTATGACTGCTGAGAAAGGATGGAGAGTGGGAAGCTATTAGAAATCCATAGGGGGCCACTCCAATACCACTTTTAAAAGGGAAGAGAAGGCATATGATAAGACAGTGAGTATGTCATAAATATAGAATTATTAAAATTATGTAATCACTTGAGCTTATGTGAATTTCTAAAAAACCATTAATTAGGGAAATATAACAGGTAGGATTGGGATTTACGCTAACTTGAGAGAAGATTAGCTGCGGAGCCACCTACCAGCCAGTCACTGTCATACCAGATTCAGGAGGCTCAGGACTTCAACATCAACCCAGTTTGTTTACTCAATGTTTTTAGCAACGACTCGACGCAGGGGTGTTCAACCTTTTGGTGTCTCTGGGCCACACTGAAAGAAGAAGAGTTGTCTTGGGCCACACATTAAATACATTGTGACACGTGATCACACAAAAATAATCTCATAAAGTTTTAAGTAAATTTAAGTACATTTTGTGTGGGGCTGCATTCATAGCCATCCTGAATCGCCTGCAGCCTGCAGGCTGGACACCGCTGAAGGATCCAGTTACCAGGTTTGTGAAATGTACTCGAGTTTGTCCAACCATTCACCAATTGAGAGTCATTTGGGTTGTTATTGGTTTTGGGCTTTTATGAATAAAGCTGCTATGAGTATTTATATACCAATTTTTTTCATAAACATAGAGTGCAATTGTTGGATTTCATTATAAATGCGTGTTTAGTTTTGTAAGAAACTCAAACTATTTTCTTGAATGGTCATACTATTTTATACTCCCACTTGTAATGGGTGAGTATCTGCCCATCCTCACCAGCATTTTGTCTAACCACTGTTTCTTTATTTTGGCCATTCTAATGGTTATGTAGTGATACCTACTGAGATCCATGGTAATACTGGCATAGGATTTTTTGAGAGCATATAATGAAATTAGCAACATTTAGAAGATCCATGTAATTCGTTGAACAAATATTTTCCAAACAACTGGTGCATAAAGTGTTATAAAATCATCCATGAGTGTTCTGGTTTTAAAACAAATCCTGTCCAGGTGACTCAGTCGGTTGGAGTGCCATCCTGTACACCAAATAAAGGTTCAATTCCTGGTCAGGGCACATACCTAGGTTGTGGGTTTGATCCCTGATTGGGGTATGTAAGGGAGGCAACTGATCACTGTTTCTCACATTGATGTTTCTCTCTCTCTCTCAAATCAATAAAAAAAAAACTTATCCTTGGGTGAGGATTAAAGTATGTATATATGTATGTCTGTGTGTATATATATATATATATATATATATCCACAAATTCTTTGATACCTCTCTTTTCAAAGATAGAAGCTAATTCTCCTCCTCTTAAATGTGGACTGTATTCAATGAATCTAATAAATAGAATATAGCAAAAGTGGTGGTATGTTATTTATGAGGTTAGTTCCTAAAAGACATTGTGGCTTTACCTTGCTCTCTCTTGGATCCCTTGCTCTGAGGGAAACCAGCTGCCGTGTCTTGAGGAAGCCTGTGGAGAGACCACATAGGGAACTGAGACTTGCAAATAGTCCCATGAGTGAGGTTAGAAGCAGATCCTGCCATAACTGCAACTCATGTGGGACCCTGAGCCAAAATTACCCTGAGAAGCTGTGCTCAAACTCGGATGCACAGAACTGTTAAATAGTAAATGTTTGTGGCTGTGAGCCACTAAACTTTGGAGGTAATTTGTACTGGAGCAACAGATAACCAATATAATGGGTAAGAGATCCATTCCAAGTTCAAGAAAGACCAATAGATTTTAGTGTAACAGTACTAAGTTTTATCAACAGTTTTAGATGCAACATTGCAACTAACCTTTAAGAAACTAGCAATTGTTGAGTACTGGTATAGAATAACTATAATATCTTAAAAGGCTATTAATATACTAGTTTTTCCTCAGATATTTCAACTATAGCAAGGTATCTCAATGCATTAATATGAGAAATCAAATATGAGAAATCAGCTGTCTTCTATTAAGTCAGACAAAGAGATTTGCAGAATTACGAAAATACAGTTTTTCTCAAGTTTCAGAAAATACATATTTTTTCACTCATTCTTTATACTATGTAATAGATTTTGTTATTTTTAAATGCTTTAATGTTTCTAAAATTTTAATGTTTTAATTTTTAATATGGTAAATATCTATCATTTTTGAGAGTAAAAAGGTATCCTGGGGCCCAAATGAGAGAACTGCTTCTCTAACAGTTACAGGCATGAAAATGTATTTGAAGGAAAACAATTAAAGTTGGACTGGAAATCATGTTCTGTGTGGATTAGCCAAAGAATTTGAGTGTTTAGCCTGGAAAATATATAGAACCTGATGGCAGTCTTCTAAAAGGAAAGAAGTACTGAGTTGTTACAACAGGCAGTATAAAATGGAGTTGACAGCAGAGGTTTAGCAATCAAACAGACCTGTGTTTGACACCCAGGTACGGGACTAAGCTCTGTGGTTTGAGTGATGAAGTTGTGTTTTCCATTTTTAATTTTATTTTTTAAAATTGTGCCCCAGCTGGTGTAGTTCAGTGGACCAAGTGCCGACCTGCGAACCAAAGGGTCGCCAGTTCAATTCCCAGTCAGGGCACATGCCTGGGTTGCAGGCCAGGTCTCCAGTAGGGGGCATGTGAGAAGCAAGCACACATCAATGTTTCCCTCTCCCTCCTTACCCCCTCTCTAAAAATAAATAAATAAAAATTGTGACTAAATATACAAATCATAAAACTTACCATTTTTAACATTTTTAAATATACAGCTCAGTATATTAAATTAAGTACACCTGCATTGTTATGCAACCATCACTACAATCTACCTCCAGAACTTTGTCACCTTCCCGAACTGAAACTCCACACCCATTAAACACTCAACTCTCCATTACCCCAGCTCCTGGTAACCACCATTCCACTTTGTTTCTCTGACTTTGTTTACCCTAGGTATCTCACACAAACATCTGTCATTTTGTGTTTGGCTTAGCATAATGTCTTCAAGGTTCATCCATGTTTAGAATTTCGTTCTTTTTAAGGCTGAATAATGTTTCATTGTATGGATATACTGTCAGGATGGGTGGGGTAGGACAAAATGGTGACTGAAGGACAACCTGGAAAAGACAGCGGATGTCAAACCAGGGAGCCGAAACAGCGGGCTTCGCCAAAACGGGTATCCGACAGCAACCTGAGCCCGAGGAGAACCACCAATGATATATTGCTGCTTTGTTCAAAGGGGACCAATCCCCAGCTCCCACGAAGAGAGACAACCAAAATAAAACCCCGCCGTATTCCCTGCTCGGGGCGACTTCCTCGGCCCCACTGTGCGGAGCAGGGAACCTTGCCTGGGTGCACAAACCCCAATAAAGCCCTATACTGCCTAACTTTGTGGCTCTTTGGCATTTATTCCTTGGAAGAGCCTAAGAAAACCTTTCATATACTACACTCTGTTTATCCATTTATCAGTCAATGAACACTTGGGTTGCTTCCACCTTTTGGGTGTTGTGAATAATGCTGTTACGAACATTGACATAAAAATATGTTTGAATCCCTACTTTCAATTTTTGTGTGTATATTCCATAAGGGGAATTGCTGGATTATATGGTAATTCTGTGCTTAATTTTTTGAGGAATCGCCATAGTGTTTTTCACAGGAACTGTGATAGGGGACTCAAGACTTGGAAAATTTTAGCTTAAGGTAAAAAGCCGTAAGTCTAGCAAATAATGTGTATGTTAAGCTTTTGTTTCAAAAACTACAGATAAGGCCCATCCTGGCTCCTGAGAAAAGCAGCTGACCTCCTGGGGCACTGGCTAGAGATTACCACCTGGGGACAAGTTGGAGACTTCCAGGCTTTTTTGTGTAACCCCCCCACCCCACCTTGGGAACAGCTAACTGCAAGAACAGGAAGGCTGCAGCTTCACTCACCTAATCCTCCCTGATTTCAAAGCCCTCACCGCACCTTGCTTGTCCTCCCCCACCCCCCTTATAAAAGATCTGACCAGGAAAGAGAAGGGAAGATGGTCTGTTAGGGTATGAACCCATCATCTTCTCAGATCCCCGGCCATCTGAATAAAGAGCCCATAAAAGATTCAATTGCTGTCATTGCTTATTGGATTTGGTAGTGACAGGCAGCCCAAACACCAGTGTCTTTTCCGGTTACAGCTGCACTATTTTAGGTTCCCAACAGCAATGTACAATGGTACCAATTTCTCTACATTTTACCGCTTGTTATATTTTGCTTTTTGATAAGTTATCCTAATGGGTGTGAATCTTTTATTTCTTGAAATTTTAGTTACCCAGCTTTATTTTGAAAAAATCTTAAACCCACAGAAAAGTCACCTAGATTCACCTGTTAACATTTCACCAAATTTGCCTATCTCTTTATACTGTTCATCGTTTTTCAGAATCATTTACTGGACATTGCAGACATGATGCCTCTTCATGCCTACTTAGGCATGGGTCACTTTTAGAATGGGTCACTTAAGAAGTGACCCATATTAATGTAATTTCATACATTGTCTAGTATGCAGTCTACACTCAAATTGCCCCCATTTTCCTCCAAAAAATGGATAGGGTTTTGGATTTTTTTTTTGGCATCTAAAATCCCTTCAAAGTTCACTTGTTGAAAATATAGTTACTATTCTTTTTCTTAATGTAGAAGTCTCCCACTCATATGTTTTAGGTCTCTTTCATTTTATATTTAAAATAAAAATTATTGTAGTATATACTGTTTTATGAGTTTTATGTCATAATATAGGCAACACCATTAAAATACAAGTGCTAACAAGATAGGGTTTTTACATGTTTTTTTCACTGGAACCCCACTACCCAGAATTGTGCATTGCATATACTAGGTAATAGGTATGCAATGAATATTTGAATGGATGAATGGATGGATGAACACAGTGCCGAAGTAAATGAGTGGGGGAAGGTACTTATATTATGAAACATTTCCCAATTATTTTATATCCACTTAATTGATACCTCTACTTGGATGTCTGGTGGACACCTTAAACTTTTTCTACTCCACATCCAGTAAAAATATATTTAGAGACTGACCACTTTTCACTGGTTTGAGGTTCTGCCAGACAAGTGTGCCAAGGACACAAGAGCAGCTACATTAAGGGTAAGGGCAAAAATAGTACTGGGAAGGAGGGAAATGGAATCACAACTAGATGAGGAAATGGAAGAAACGAGAGGGTAGAGGAACTGGGCAGGGAAGATGGGACAAAGGACTGAGGGTCCTAGAGAGGGTGAAGAAAGGTCCCAGGGGAGCATCTGGAGGGATGGGAGGGTGTGGGATGGGTTATCTACAGGGGTGTTGATAGGTGACAGCAGGATGTGGGTGGAAGTGTTCTGGGAGAAACTCCCAGAAACTCAGTTCTTCTTACCAATGCAGTAAAGAACTACAGATCAGCAAGTCTGTTAGTGTGCAAGAAGGGTTTATATTCTCATGGAAGAGAATGGGACAAGAGGCCTGGTGGCCAGTCCTTTGTTCTGGGGGCTTATGCAGTTGGCGGGGATGGGGGTGAAGAAATTACATATTGATTGACAGGTAAAGGTGATGCCAGTTTTGGGGTAGGGCATGAATATCTAAAGGTGTTAATGGGTTTCTTCCTTTGGGCTCTCTGGGCCCTTTCTGGCCTTCCAGGCCTTGGGATGAAAGCAGTTTCAAAGTTTTTCTTTCCCAGATAGTAGAGATGATTCAGAGTTTCTAGGACGGGCCTTCTCCTGTGTTGGCATGGTGTCTCCTGTGATGTCGGAACACCTGGCAGTATTACTGGCCCAGGCTCGGGACTGCTGAGTCAGTGGGTGAAACATGTCTCCCTCCTCTTCCCTGCCTTGGTTTGCTATCTGTCCTGCCTAACAGAAGGTTCTGTAATGCTGGTGAGTGGATGACAGAGACAAGGACAGGAAGCAAGTAGTATTGTGGAGCCAAATGACAGAAACCTCACAGAGCAGGGTTTGTTTTTTTCTTTCCTCTCTTCTTGGACACCTTGGCACCATTATCTAAAGACACCGAGTCTTGAGAGTTTGGCAGGGAAGTAGGGAAGATCAAGAGTTCTGTTTTGGATATGTAAATCCAAGGACAAATGACATCTCCTTGATGATCTCTTGAGAAGGGAGAGGACTGTCCTTGCCTTGCTATGCACACATCTCCACATGGTTACAGCAAAGACCAATCCCTCGATATGTACTCTGGGGCCCACCCCACCTCACCCCGCTTGGATGTCTGCTTTTCCATCTTTACCTGTCAAACCATTCTTACTCCATGCAAAGATGCCCCAGCCCATTCTTCATAAACATGGTCTTCCAACTCTCCCTCAGAGGTACCTGGGCCTTTGCAGATTCCTGGCCTCTCCTCAGACTTGCATGGTTCTTAAGCGCACTAAAGTCAGAACAACCTCTTTCCTGCTTTCATTTTAAACACCAACCTAATCCTTTACTCCTACATCCATTCTTTCTATCCCAGGTCACCACTATCTCCATCCCACTACTCCCCTCAGAGACAAACCTCTCCAGATCAGCATTCGCTGGCTATCACCCCTTTCTCACGTCCAACCCTCAGCAGTCTGGCTCTGCCCGCCGAGTCCTGCAGGGATGGTCTCCCAGATGGAGTGCCTGTGTCTTCCCCGGGATAAAACGGGGAAACATTTCAGTGCTTTCCTTACCTGACTCACCAGCTACCTGAAAGCCTTTTCACTCAGCTTCGGAGGCAACCCCCTCTCCTTTCTCTTTCTACTGGACTCCCTTGGCAGGCTCTGCTTGTTCTCTTTTACTGATGCCTCTTCCTGGCCTCTATAGGTTGGTTTTGCAATTTCCACTTTACGCCCCTGTCTTAGGCCATCCCATCCAATTCCATGGCTTCAAATACCATCTACATTTTTCAACAGCTCATTTCTACCTCTAGCCTAGTCACTCTTCTGGTGAGCGTAAGACCTGTATATCTGTATCGATGTCATTCTCCCTAGATTCATGTCCAAAGAGCAGCTCATGGTCTTTGCCCCTTCCCTACCAAACTTCTCAAGCTGCTGTATCTTACAGAATGGTGCCAAAATCCATCTGTTTATTGAGAATGGGCACCGAAGAATTCCTGATCCCCCACCTTCCGTCTCCCAGTCCCTTGAATGAGTTCCCATCCATGCCTTCAAATATCAAAGCCATTCAAAAGAGGCTGTCTGACTCGCAATCTAAACTTGGCTTCCGGTTCCACACTCTTCTCGGAGCACTCGTGCTGACCACAGAACTCATCTCCTTTGCATTGTAAAGTTTATAGCGCTGCCACAGGCAGGCTCAGTAAACCCTTTGAGAGCGAGGATGAGCCTTCCCTACATCAAGGGTAGCCATGTCCCACGCGAGCAACCGGACCCGAGCAAACCTCCCGGGACCTGTCGCAGAGTATACGCTCTGGAAAACCAGCGCCGCCGCCCGCCCTCCGCGCCGCCCTGGCTTCCGGTCCCGAGGCTACCAGCCTCCGCCCCGGGACCCCGCCCTCACGCAAAGAGGAGGGGCTTTTTGCGCTCTGCCCAGCATCCGTCGCTGGTTTAATCGCGGAGGGCCGCGGGTCACGTGCTGGAGAGCGTGGGGGTGTGGCACCAGGAAGCGGCCTCTGAGCCCGCGGGATCGCCGCCGCCGCTGCCGCTGCCACAGAGGCAGTGACTACAGCCTGGTCCAACTCCTTGCGCCCCCCGCGCCTGACGCCGCTTGCTCTGGTCACGCTGGCTTCCACCTCCGGTCCCCCCACCGCCGCCGCCTTCGCGGCGCCCGCCATGGGCGAGGAGGACTACTACCTGGAGCTGTGCGAACGGCCGGTGCACTTCGAGAAGGCAACCCCGGTCAACTGCGTCTTTTTTGATGAGGCTAACAAGCAGGTCGGGACCGGCCCTCATCCTCCTTCCTCTTGCGTCTGGGCGTGCCCTGCCCATCGACCCCGGCGCCCCAAGGTCGCCTCGCGCGCACGGGCGGGGCGCGGGGACCGGGCCTGGGGCCTCCCCTAGCGAGCTGGCGCAGCACCCGCACCAGCGCCTTCCTGTTGGGTGGGTTGCGGGACCAGGCTCCACCGTGGCCGGGGCTTTCTTCTCCACAGTGACAGCGGGGTGGACTCCCAGCCCGCGCCACTAACCCGGCGCCCTTTGGCCGGCATGGCCGGTGTAAGCAGGCGGGTCTTTTACCGGCGCCTTTTCTTGGATTTAGGCATTAAGAGTTGTATTATTCTCGGAATTTTGGACATAGGGGAAAGCATAGGGGGAATTTTGGACATGTGGGGAGTGTAGCAGGGTATGCTTAAGCGGCGCGTTTGCAAAACTGGATTAAAAGTTAGAGCCTCGAGGCCCTCCGACCCCATCATGCACAGTTTGGAATGGTAAACTTTTTGGTTTCTACTCTCGTTTCTTATAATTCATCAGAAAACCAAGCATCACAGATTGATATGTGCCGTGTTGGTTTAGCTAAACCAAGGGTTGGGTGCACAGGGGTGTTCACTTGTAGATTGGTATACTGCCCAGACCATTAACATTGCTTCTTTTCCCTCCCAGGTGTTTGCTGTTCGATCTGGTGGAGCTACTGGGGTGGTAGTTAAAGGCCCAGATGATAGGAGTCCCATCTCATTTAGGTAACAGAATTAACATTTTCAGAATAATTTCAGCACGTAAATGGCGTTTATCTGTTTCTCATTCAGGAGGTGGTTTTGAAATTTTGTCCTTTGCATCCCTTAAGAGGTCTGGGGGGGGGGGGGTGTGGGGTGTGTGTGTGTGTGTGTGTATGCACATGCAGATACCTGCCCGGTAGGGGGGCAAGGGAAGCAGACACTTGCTGTGCAGTTTTTGTGGCACAGACTCTACTTCTGGTCCGAGTGAACATGTGGAGTACTTCTCTGTTGATTTGGGAGCCGTATATTCCCTAGTAGGGCACCTACTTCCTGGTACTTGAAATTAGTAGGTCAGTGCATTATTGATTTGCCCATTTCTTGTTTCTTCCTGGAGGAGAACCTTCACTTCCTCATTAGGCCCAGGTCTTCCCAGAGTGTTCGGAAGGTGGAGATCACTGGGTCAGTGTTTTTCAGGCAATAATGTATATTAACAAAATCCCAGCTTTGACTACTTTAGGTGACTGGGTGTCCCAGTTTACACAAGTGGAATAGCAGCTCCTTTCCCTTCAGAAGTATTGGGTTGGCCAAAAAGTCTGTTTAGTTTTTTTCCATAAAGTAAAAGACACAGTTTTCATTTTCATTAATAACTTTATTGATTTGGATATTTTGAGTATGTCAGGTGTCTCCTGCTATTGGCTTGTAGTGGGTGGAGGCCAGGGGTGCTGCCAAACATCTTTCAATGCATGAGACAGCCCCACAGCAAAAAATTATTTGGCCAAAATGTAAGTAGTACCAAGAAGCTTCTCAAACCACTTTGACACTTTCAGTCATAGCACCTTCTCCGTACACTACACACATTTTTTTTTTTTGCATTTTAGTTGTATTTTTACCTTCCTTGAAATAATACAGCATGATGCACTGGAAATGTTGTGTGTCATCTTCCATCTTCAGTATTAAAATGGCTGCACAAAAATTCATAAGTTTTGATAAGTTTTTAAAAAAATGCATGCTGATGTGACAGCTGTCACAGTACAATCTAATGAAGCTGTTTGAATGAAGTTAAAGACAAGCACTGTTAGAGCCGCTGTACGGAACAAATGTAATGGGCTTTTTGGTTCACCTAATACCTCAATTTGGCTGATAAACTGTCTGGTCACCTTGACTCCTGTGATTACAGAAGGGGAAAGTACAATATAGGCCTCAGTTCAGTGGTGTCTTTAAAAAAATGTTTACAGTTGGCCCCTGCTGATAGGAAGCAGTTTTTGAGGTAGAAAACGAATCACATCATTTGTTGGGCAGACGCTGTTGCAGGGCCTTCCAGGCAGCAGGCATGTGAAGGCTTTGAGTTAGCCTGGCACCCTTTTGGGGAATGCAGACTTCAGTGTGGGATACAAGTGAGGGGGCACATGTGCTGTGCCAAGTGCTGTACCAAGAATGTGGACACAGGGATGAGGTGTGACATTTATCTTGAGATTGGAGAAGACGTAGCCTTTGAGCAAAACTGGAGAGCTTGAATGGGAAGATTCCAGGTGGGGAAGACAGGAGGCCTTCCCAGTGGCGAGAACACCAAGTGTAAAGTGAGCAAGCATGGTGTTTGGGGAACTCCAGGTCTGTGTAACTAATGACCAGGTGTCCATGCAAGAAGGGGAGGTGGTGGTGTGGACACTGGCAGGGGTTGGCTGGAACCTTATATATTCTGCTACGGAATCAGGGCTTTATCTTGTTACTGAAAATTTGTAAGGTGGGCATGGCATGATCATATTGGTGTTTGGAAAGATCACGTGAGTCGTAGCCTTGAGGCTGAACGGGTTGGGAGCATGTCACAGTGCAGGATACCCCTGAGAGGTGGTTGTAGTCTGAGTGAGGCATGGTGAAGACCAGACTGAAGGTAGTGTAGCTGGTATTGCAGTCACTCGGTGGTCAGTGCGAGAGTGAGCCCATGACGGTCCAGATTTGGGGGCTTCATTGGGTTTGAGGGGGAAGATGCTGAATTTACCCTCTTTTAAAAACATTTTATTTATTGTTAATAGCCTTACTGTGTTGTAATTATTATTAAGTGAACATATTTAACATATGTGTACATCCATGAAACCATCACCATAATGAAGATAATGAACATTCTATATTCCCAAAAGTTTCTTCATGCCTATCTGTAGTCCATCCCTTGATTTTCCTTTGTTTGAGGTGGTTGTGAGACTTCTAGGTGGGACCATCTTGAGTCAGTAAGGTAGCGAATGGGAAAGAGGGCACTAATGTTTCAAAAGTTTTGCTGTGAGAGCGATGGAGAGAGAAGGCAGTGATTGTGGAGGTTACTGTGGGTATTGGAATACCTCAGAAAGATGGTAGGTTTGGTTCCAGACCACTGCAAAAAGTGGGCTGTAATCTCTCTGCTGGTGGAGGGTCTTGCCTTCAATTTGTTAAAAAAAAAAAAAAAAAGCAACAGCTATGAAGCACAATAAAGTGAAGGACAATAAAACAAGGTATGCCTGTATATATGTATTTGTCTAGAATAATTCTTAGTTGAAAGTGCATGTGATCTCAATTTCCCATCTTGTTATCTGCAATACTGTAAATTTTTCCAGCAGTTTATTGCTGATTGGATTTTGTTTTCTGAAAAGAGGTTCTACTGTTAGCTTCAGAAGCATAAGTTTAATTTTAAACTAAGATTTGCTGCTTCCTGAATATTTAACTTGTCTTTTTTCTTCTCACAAAATGATAGAAGCTAGAGTTTAATTCTTAACACATACTCTTTCTTCTTGAAGAATGGAAGACAAAGGAGAAGTGAAGTGCATTAAGTTTTCCTTAGAAAATAAGATATTAGCTGTTCAGAGGACCTCAAAGACTGTGGTAAGATATATCTTTAAATACAGTATAAAGAAAGGGACATCAGAAGTACATTTGGAAGGGAATGAATTGCAAATATCCAGTGTTAAAGGAACCGTTTATTATTTTAATGTCATGAAAGCTATAATTATGTTGTGTTGTATTGGGACTTTTGAAGAAAGACATTTGAATTGATAAATATGTATGACCTTAGTTTGTTATTTTTGACTTAAATAAAAAAAAAAAACTAATTTGGAGCCTCAGGCATCTTTTGTATGGATCAATAGCTAGCATCATTGATTGCCTGAGTATATCTTTGGCTACTTTGTGAATGATGTTTACGGGGTAACTCCATTTATTCATTTTTCTTATCTTTGTATGTTTAATCTAATAGGAACAGCCATTCAGAGTTGGAGCAGCCTGTTGGCATTTTAGCCTTATAAATATTCGTCACTGCATTTGTAAAGTAGAGAAAAAGCCGTTGAGAAAGGCAGAATCCTCTTTCCTTCCATCAATATTAATTGCTAAAATTTTTGGAAAGCCTCTTATAAAATGTAGAGCAATGCATTTCTTTGAAATCAACCATTTGGAGAATGAATTTTCAAAATCAGTTTCTAAACCCTAACTGAATATTTGGATTAACTCTTTTTAAGAAATTGAATTGTCAGTCTGCTGCTTTTAAGGAAGCAGATTGGCCAAATTGGCCTTTTTATTTTTCCTGTCTTTGGGTTTTTGTCAGTTTTTTTTGTCAGTTTTTTTTATCACTTTTTACATTTAATTGTCTTTTTCTTTTGTCTGTTGTGTGCCAAAGTGGGTTGGTGCCTGATGCAAATTTCTCCTTTTTTTTCCTTTGTTCAGGATTTCTCTAATTTTATCCCGGATAGTTCTCAGCTGGAATACACTCAAGAGTGCAAGGTATGGGCCGTACCCTTTCACAGCTGGTCTGCGTGTAACCGCGTGGGTTACGTTATGGAGGTACCGGGTAGTGTGGTAACTGAGCACAGACTGGAAGACAGACTGCCTTGTGCTCGGAGGTGCTGCCTGTGGGCGCTGTGCCTTTGGACAGGTTTTAAGCCTGTTTCTGCGTCTAGAGATGGAGTCGGGAGGATTGAATGGATGGTGGATGGTGCACACTTCACTGTGTCCGCACTTGGTGGCTGCTGTCTTCTTGCTGTCCCTGGGCGGGCACTTCTGGGTCAAACCCTGGATTCCTTTCACAGTTGCCTCTCCGGAGGTTTGTGGAAGGGGAGATTTTTCCTTTCCTGGTGATGTTTTCTTTTTTTTGATTTACCCTTGTCATGTCCTTCCTCTTTCTTTCCCTCAGTGTGGATACTAATCCATATTAATTAGATTTGCTGGGCATAATAAACTAGGCTAGAGAAGGCTCAGCTAAAAGTGGCAATGTGGTATCCTGGAAACTAGCGGAAGCTACTAGTGGATAGGGTATGGCTTTTGGCATCTTCGTAACGGTTTTGCTAAATGGAGTTCAGCGTGGGCTCC